TCTGCTCGCTTTCACCAATCCAATAAAGACAGAGCTCCCTCTCCCTGTGTCTGGACCCTTCAATCCCCTTATTATCAGCTGCAGATGACAATAACATCATCTGCACTGCTATGAGCTCTGTCAGTACAAAATCTGTTCATTTTCCACTCCAGTGTTCGCTACGTCCAACATTCCTTACTGAGGTTCAAGCTTAGCAAAAAAAACAAAACAAAAAAACAACAACAACCTGGAATCAGACATTATCCCCCCTGTACTGCAGCCTCTGCTGATATGCTTGGCTAATTCTGTCAATCTTCTCTCAGTAAGATAAAAACAAATCACAGCGAGAATGCACCACTGCATCATGATCATCACCTCACACCAAACCTCTAATCACAACCAAGGCAACAGATCTCAACTAACCACGTGGCCATCTAAGGCGAGCAGGGTGGTACGTGAGCCACAAGCTGCCTGCTGCGTTCGAATCATCATACTCACAGAGGAGAGGGAATCATGAATGAGTCTGACTTTAAAAGAGAAAATTCCAGGGACGGCTCACAACACCAGCAGGCTTCAGAGACCGTCCTGACCCACTGTCACCTTTCAGCATCGTGCTGGGAAGTTCTCAAAACAAAGTGATGATTGGATTGTTATTGGATCACGCCTCTCGATTCCCAAGGCAAATCAACTCATGAGAAAAGCTGCTCTTCTCTCTATTATGTCAGTGCAATTAGAAGAAATGACTCGTGTGTGTCATATCGTAGTCAGCTTGCATTCGTTTCACGATTGCTGCCAAATTCTCCACAATTTTGGACACGGAGCCTGTGAATCTCTGTTCCTCAACACTGACGCTACATGTAAATGGAATACTCTAAAAGTCTGGGCTGGTCTCAGAACCGGGGTTAAACTGTGCACAAAAGATGAGCATGTCAACAGGGTCATTACTGAGCATCATCAACCTCCTTAATTACTGGTAATTGCCTTCCCCAAGCTCTCAAACCAGGGACAAACTAGATCATTATCATTATGATATTTTTCCTGGCAGGTCTTACACACACACACACACACACACACACACACACACACACACACACACTGGATAAAAACGGTATGTATCTGGCTCTCTCTGGGTGTTGCGTTCAGGTTCCTAAATACTCTGATGTGTTGAATGCAGAGGCTGAATGCAGGTTTCTCCACAGGGATTAATTACCTGTGCAGAATATCACACCCAAGGAAAGAATTTTAATTTGACAAAGCGGGTGAAGTTGGGAGGTTTGGATCAGGATGGATGGCACACTGCTTGCTAGCCTCACCTTGTGATTTAGATGAAATTGGATAAGATTGTTTTACATAAATGTGTTGTGTAACTTTTTCAGTACTTTGAAGTGTCCATGTTTAAAAGAAAAAAAAAAAACAAACTTAACATCCAGTTCCGTTTAATTTCACATTGAGAAACTTTAAGGTTGTTAAAATCATCTTATTCCACTCCATGCGGTTCCAGCCCTTCACTGAAGCTATACGATGGTTATACTGAGTAAAATATTCAAACCCCAAGACTCCATGATTTATACACACTGAAAATTCACTCTGACATATTTGGCATCTTAAGAAACGTTGGGACCTCAACTAGGAATTATAATAAAGTTCTGTGGGTTTGAAGAATGTTTGGCGGCACAGCATGACTTTGTAATGACGGACTAGTAGTGTGTCAATGCCACTGAAGAGGTTAAGCTTTCGCCTCTGTATTGTATTGCCTTTCTTATACCTAAGCCCAGATTCGTAAAAGGATATGACAGTTTAAACAGATGTAATGTTTCCATGCACCTAAACGGTCCTCTTACAATAGAAAACGCTTGCAGTAATAGAAAGTGAGAAGAAAAATGCTGGCGTCCATTTAACTAAAATGAAAAAAAAACAAAAACAAAAACAAAAACAAAGTAAAACTAAAAAAGTGTGTTTGCCATTTAAACTGTATTTTATTTTTTTAATAACAAATTTGTACATTAATATTGGTGTTCTGATCTTTATCTGATTTTCTTCACTTTTTCATAATCAAAAATAAACACGGATAAATTCAAAGGCTGTTAAACTCAGAGTAATGAACCCTACTTCCACTTCTTGGAATAGCAGCACTGTGCGACCTATCAGATTAAGGATACAGCAGCTGGAGAAGATACAATCTCCTCTTTCCCCTGACGGCAGTTCATGGCCTTTGATTGCTCCGCAGCTGGGCGACTGTAGCGAGAGCTGTGGACAGTGGGAGAGATGAGCGGAGGCCATTGGGGTCCAGCCCACTGGCAGCTACAAAAGTCTCCCTTTAATACCTGCAAAAGGTGGCGTGGCTCTCTTTTTTTAGAAAAGCAAACAGACCACAACAGGAAAATAAAATATTTGCCAGGCTAAATGATGGGCGAGCTGGGGACATACGCAGCAGCAGCAGCCTCAGTGGGGAGAACAGTTGGTGACTGTGGAGCCTCTTCTTACAGACCCAATGGCAGCATTATGCCAGAAGCTGTCAGCAGGAGGGTGTGTGACGCTGGAATGTTAAATACTGCAGGAATGTTATTTATTTTCACAAACACCACCAAGCACTCCCATATCAACACACATGTGAGGGTGCCGGCGCACATATACACACAGACACACACACACAGACGATCCAGATACTAATATGCATGTGTACACACTGACTGGTCTGATGTGCTCTCATCGGCCTGGCCAATGGGAACGCTCCGGCTCCGACTCTCCTTACCTGTGGTAAGACCAACATTAGAGCTCTCATCCTTGAGATGCTGCCAATGTGCTCACTTCATAAAGACGTCAACACGCCAGGAAACAAGAGCAACACAGGGGAGGTCGTAATAAAGATCTGCTCCAACGTTCATGAGAGGGGAAAAACACAATGTGCCACTTTTTTTTTCTTTCCAAACAGATGTTATTGAAATAATAACTATTTGCATAAAAGATGAGTAATATTTTTACAGCTGGGCGAGGCTCTTTGTGTGAGGCCGTGTCTATGCTCATGTCTAGACAGGAGCGTGCACTTTCATGAGTGGATAACATTAGCTCTTTAGTCTTTCTCTGCTGATTCAGAAAAAAAAATGGAGAAACCATTTGCCCGCAGACAGTAACAGGGCCGATTAACTTCCCACCACTTCTGAGCGGTGGAAGCTGTGTGTCATCACCCCGGCATTTGGAGCTGGTCTGCAGTCAGCGGCAGTGGAATTCGACTGGGTCTCAGGTTCATGTGAGGAGATGGTGCCAGCTTACCAGCCGAGCTCCACCTGGGTTAAAATGTCACTCCCTTACTCACATGAAGGTGAAAAGATGAATATAATTCAACCACAGCCTGAGCGAATTCTTTGTAAATACTAACATGGAGCCACTGCTGTGTGGTAGCTACACTTCCAGCCAGTGAAACGGCAAGTATCCACCCCCTGAGGTGTCCTGAAGTTGACCCTGACTGTGCTGTTGAGGGACAGATGCAGATGCAATTTCCCTGCAGGAACCACTGTATCATTGTTACACTCACACATCTTATTGTATGCCTGCATGTTGAATGAAGTGTTTGTAAAGCTCAAGTTCCACTCTTTTCATCTTGCTGGAAGTCCAAAATAATAGTCTGCGTACAAAGAGGTTGGGAGACACACAAAACACGCAAACAAACCCCTGTTGCATAGATCAATGTACAACAAGGGAGGGTTCCAACTCTTTCCAAATAGGGAGTGTGGAATAAAAACATCCTTCGAATGGATGATGTTCATCCTTTAGTGATATCGTAAATAGAAAACTGATGGAAAATATTCTTAGAATGCCACAGACACATCAAAGTTTTTTGCTCCTGGGGGACTTACACAGCAAAGAGTCGCACAGAGTCTCACTAAGCAATTACACTTTGTTCCCAGCTCTCCTGTTTTATCTGTCTCTTGGATTGTTCCCACGCCTACCCTAAGACGGACCTCATGGGAAATACTGTTTTTGGATGAATATGGAGTGAATCAAAAAATATTTACAACGCGTAGAGATTGTGGCATTTTAGGAGTGGCAAAACATCTAGAATGAATTGAGTTAAAACAGTCTCCTCTAGCGAGCGCACCGCCTGTGTTTTGCCACTGTGGATGTGGGATGAAGCAGAAAAGAGAAAGAAAAAACTGAAGCTGCCGAAATGGGGAAAAAAAAACAACATTTGCTCAAAAGTAAGACTGCACACAGAGGAGCCATAAAACACAAAGCGGCTGTAAAACAAAGGAGTGAAACAAGTGCACAGACATATATAGAGTGAACCTGCTGATATCGCCCTGTAAACAAGTCTAATATCAACATGATGTAGTCTTTGACATGTGAGTGGTGCATCACACGGTTTGCATGTTGCTGCTGTCAGGACTGAAAATGTCATGTTTCCATAATATCAACTTTGGAAGAACTAAGATACACAGCTTTTGAGGTTTACAGGTCAACATGTTTAACCGTCACCCTCAACATTTATTGTTCAACTGTAAAACGTCCTGCTAAGTTGGATTATAGCTACATATCCTCATCAATGTGGCCTTATGTAATGTTAATGACTAGGGACTTATAAAAACAACAGGCCCTGTTAGCCAACATGACTGATGCAAGTAAGTTTACTGAAAGTAAGTTTCAGGTTATACAAATATATACACCTATATCCCATCTATGTGGTTCTACTGCACAGGGGTGAGGTACTCGTGCATGTGTATGTGCACTACACTTTTTAGGTACAAATACTGAAGTCTTCTACTAAAGTGGAAACACCACTGAGTTCCAAGAAGTAATAGCAATTTTCCACCGGCCTGTCCAGCCTGCATATGTGCTGACCTCTCCTCCCATCACTCTGCATCTCTGCATCACGTTGCTGGGCAGCAGCAACAGCTGATGAAGAATGTAGCAGGTTATAATGTGGAGCAGAGCAGCAACATAAAGCATTCCCCCCGCTGAGTGGGCAACTACAGACCCATCATTCAGACCCACTTCACTGATTCCTCACGCAGACACCCCCTTACCTTCTGATAAGCCAGCTGAAGATAGTTGTAGGGGATCCTCCTGTGGAAGTCCTGCACTACATCCTGGCTGACTTTGTGCACAGACTGCGTGCCCAGTTTCTCCTCGATGCATTCGTCCATACACGCCGCTCTCCGCAGGACCACGTCGAAGAAGCGCAGGTCCGAGAAGGTCTCATCAAACTGATGCTGGTCCTGGCACCTCAGCCGGCACCGGACCTTGGTGCGCCGGACTTCTCCGTAGCTGCTGAGCGCTCCCTCCATGTAGCGCACCACATCGCCATAGTCGCTGCTGTAAAATGCCTGCACCGCGTTGTCATACAAAAGGTCGTAAGGCTCCAAGAAAGCAGTTGAGGATGACAACACGACGGTTAGCAGGACCACTCTCAAGATAGCAGCCGGTGGAAAGTTTCCATCCATCCTCTGCTTCGGGTTCAGACTGTGAGGAGCGACAGGCGGAGAGACAGACAGAGCAGAGCGGCTGTCAGTCACACACTCGTTTCACTGTCCATTTATATGTTCCTCGCGGAGATAATTCAGGACGGCACCGGAGCAGGGCGGAAATAATGTTGCTTCAGTCGGGGACACACATTTTGTTAAGACCCTTCTGTGGCTCCGGTAACTCCTCCCCTCCAAGGAATGAATGGCCAGAGCAGAATCAATCCAGGGAACCCCGTAGATGGTCGTCACAAACATGAGCAAAAAACACTTTTATGTTACTTTGCTTCACTACACTAATTTGAACTTTAGTTTTCAGTTTATTTTGAACAACTAAAGTTTTTGTGGCGTAAGATGTTAAATGTTCAGACGCTCCGTTGCAGATGTAAAGAAACTTTGAAAAGAAGTGTGGGTTCCTTCTCGGGCTTGATAAAGTGACCACAGAAATGCCTGAAAAAGAAATGTGCCTGTAATGAGCACACGGCACCAAATACAAATAAATAAGTAGTAGCAGTAAGTAGATGAAATTAAAATGTTATTTATTTATTTATTTATTCTTATTTATTTTTTTATTTCAAATTTCAGAAGTTATAAATATATCCCCGTATTTAGCCGGTAAACTATAATATTTACACCTTAATGTCTTTTTTCATATCGTCTATGGGGAGATGTGTACAAATATACTGGCAGCCTTGTCTTCTGGAAGTCCTGAAGTTTTTGTTCAGGAGGTTCAATGTGTGGAGACACAGTCTGATACCATCCACTTACAGGAGATTGTCTCCCTCTTGAGGAAATTTTCAGGTACAAGCAATTGTGTTTTTTAAAAAAAAATAAAATAAAATAAAAACCACACGTGGTTCAGTTTGAAAATTGACCCCAACGTGAAGATTAGCATTGTGTCAACTTTAACTTCTTCAAGTTGTTTTATGACCATTTGTTGTTTAAACTTGATGGTCTGAGTTAAACTATGTTACATTATCCATTGAAGAAAACTTGCTTTATCTTGTTCAACAAATATATAACTCCACACTATTTCAAGTTAGAATAACTTTAGCTATATTGAAACCAATTTCCATTTCAAGTGATGTTTACTCACTTTTTTAAGGCAGCAATTGAACTTCAGTTTTCAAAATGAAGTGGACTAATGTTTTTAATTATGATTAATTCTCTGGACCAGTAATGGCAAGTGTGCCAGTTTAGCTTATCATTTAGGTGTGAATCTTAAAATAAATAATTAGCCTAATTAATTAAAAAATACATTAACCGGTTAAGCAACCTGTATAAAACTACAGACGCCACAGGTATGTGGTCAAGCAGGTGAAAGCATTTCTGTGAGCCTATCCACAACTGTAAGTGCAGACACATTTGACAGGGATGCATTTGTTGAGTCCAGATTTAATTTAATTTATTAGCCTAAAAACTAAGTGAAATATGTTTCTTTCTTTCCTTTCACAAATGTAATCTCATAACAAACTGTGGAAATTATAACACAGGATACAGTTTTATCATTTTCAGCAAAACAAACAGAGAAAACTCATTAAAATACACTCTACTGGCATCCTGGATAAGCAATACCCCATGTTTTCAGCCCTTCCCTTTATGTATTGTGAGTCAGTAAGTGAATGTGTGAATGTTGCAGAATCACATGATGAGACACTTCTCATCTGCTGAGGGTTTTTTTCTGTTACAGATGTGTCATGCTCTTTACTGTAAGGACACATTCATACATTGACATTTGACAGACTGTGTTTGTATGTTTTTTTTTCTATTTTCTATTCATTTCTATGTTTGGATGACTCCTCTACTTTAGTAGAAAATATCTTAGAGAATGAACATGTGAAGTATTTATAGATTCCTGTGTCATTCATTTAATAGCATGGCACAATAAGTGTAGAAAAATTTGACTTTTTGGGGACAATTATAGGTAATATTTTATGAGCTAAATGTAGTGTTTGTCCATATTAATTGCAAAAAGAGCAGGATATAATTGATATTAAGCAAACACAAAACAATAACAGACAAACTCAAAATGGACATCTCTGCTTTTTTTGTACGAGAAATGGAAAAATAACCGAAATAACATAATTAGTGCAACACAACAAACACAAGAGACTAACAGCTCAGAAATGACTCAGAAACTCAAAGTGAGTCAACAACTCACTTTGAGTTTTACATTGGTAGCTGTGGGGCTGGATTACTGGATTGCATTACAGCATCACCTGTTGCTGTAATGATGTTACTACAAGAAAAAGACCCTCGTGTATCTTCGGTCTAATGTGTTTTACTCCAGACGGTTACATCATGACTCAGACTTAATGAATTCCTTATATGATGGATGATTTTTTTTTTAATTTTGTGGTTGTTGCCATCAGTATTGTATTGTGGAAACTGGATGAACTTGTATGTGCTCTTTAATTTGTTCCTCTGCCTTTTTTCTTTTCAAGTGACTGTACTTTGGATGAATGGAGTTTGACAGGAATTTAACGAAAACTAAAAAATTTAAATTAATGAAACTATATAGTAACTTCAGCCAAGTCCAACCTTTCAGATCCAAAACTCTTGCAGTGCACATGGCTGGTAAAGGTGTGTTCTGTTTGTGGATACAGCATGACAACATGTTACAACTGTTAAAGTTAAAGCAGATGTAAAAACAAACAAACAAAAAAAAGTAGAAAACAGGGTAGCACAATTAAAGTACTCTCAGTACAAAAACCCACATGAAAACTTCACTTTATGTCTGAGCATTCAGGAAGTGCTGAGGACACAACTCAGCCTCCTGCTGTTTGTTGTTTCAACTGAAGAGTGAGGAAATCTCTGACTCAATCTCGATCTTGAGTCTGTCAGGTTTTTGTTGGACTGCCATGGTGTTCAGAAAAATAATTAAAACAGCAGCCATTGCAGGATGGCTAAACTCTTTTTAAATTAATGTCTTTAAAGCATTGAATCATTTCTGTCAAAGAAGGTGTTACACACATTTTGACTCAGTTTTCTGGTATGAGATTGATGCAATCGGTGATGTAATGTGTTCAACATAGGAATCGGGGTGGTGGGATTTGTAGTCCTGGCTCTGAGATCTGTAGGCACAATCCTTACCAAGGTCAGGTCAGAAAAACTCTGTCTTTGTATTAGTATATTTCTTCACAAAATGTAAGCAGTCTGACAACGTTTTATCTCTTAATTTCTCAGTCGGTTTTCAATCATCTTAAATACACTTGGTATGTTTCAGCAGTATTTCCCTCCTTTGCAGGTGACACACAATGTAGTGTAATACTGCTGTTTCCTACATGTAGCTCTGTTATCACCATCCCTTTTCTCCATAATACCAAAAATACAGTACAACTGGGTTTATGAAGAAATTTTCCCTCCTTTTCCAGTAAATTGTTTACTCCGAGTGCACTGGCAGCTGCAAGAGCCGATGCCATTAAATACAATACTTGAAGGGAAAAATTACAGAAGATATGAAAGGAAGGAAACTGTTTCAGTTCCAGGAAAGCTCTCATTACCAGAGCACCGTAGACCTTTTCAAGGCAGCATGATTTGCTTTGTCTTATTGTCTTATACCTTAAACTGAACCAAATCAAATTCAATGTGGGCTTAATGTAAAGTTTGATAATGCAGTGAAGTTTTGCTGAAACTGAACAGCTGTTGGATTAAATCCTTACCCCCCAACCTACACACACCTTCAGACAAATTAATGTTAGACTGCCTGTTTCATCACACAGACTAATTCACATTTGGATTATTGCTTGACACTGCTCTTGAAACAGAGACTGAGGCCTCAGTGGCACCTCACACAGTCTTGACCATGACCATGACCAGAGCTGGAAAGTACTTTACTACAATTTTGAACTACTTACTTATTTCCATTTTATGCTACTTCACACTTCTATTCCACTATATGTCAGAGGCAAATATTATACTTTCTACTCCACTACATTTATCTTACAACTTTAGTTACTATCGCTTTGAAAATTCAGATTATTAATAGAAAATATAATCAAAAATTTAATAAAAATTCATGGGTTTGGCTACCAGCAGTATACAAAGAAGGGTAATTAGAATTAGCTCCATTAAAGCAACAGATGCAGTATTAAACTGATGTTCATACATTAATGCATCAGCAATCGCAATCCATTAATATAATACAGTATATATTGCTGAAGTATAGGCCATTCTGCATAATGAGTCTTTGTATTGAGTATTTTTACACTTCATCATTGTGAGAAACAGATGCCCATGTAAAGCAAGGGCATAATTTACTGTAGTGCACCATGAGAGTTAGAATTAAAGAGTAATTTCTGTATGGCAGTGTCTTGAGGAAAATATTATCCAGGGCCATGTGTAGAAATGAAAAGAAAAAATATGACATAATTTGCCTAAAATATTCAGTTATTCTGATAAGAGAAATCCTTCAGCGGAGTGCCAAGCCAACTTGGCAATTGTCTTTGAAATATCATATTTCAATCAGTAACTACCGTATATGTTGTATGTATGAAACATTCATTTTGTTTCAAACATTTAAATTCTTAATGAGTTTATTTATTTATTTTTGTCGTTTTTTAAATCCAATTTCTAATAGTTAACAATTTGTTTGGAATCATAAATTCAAATGATTTCAGCAGCAATATTTTTGAGTTATGTACAAAACAATTAAAATTTATGTGCAATATAACAGGACACAAGGTAAACAAGACTAAAGAAAACAAAATAATTTTATTTTTCTTCTCATAATGTACATACAGTTATCTTTCAAATTGCCATAGAATATATTACATAAACAATAAAAACAACCTGAGGAGTTACACAAGACTCAAAATATAAAACTTTAGTCGTATAATAAACAACATACACAAACAAATATCGACACCAGTGTGAAACTGAAGAGGTAAAGGGATAGCAAGTATAGCAAAGTACACCATCAAAGTACAGAAGTCCCGCTGCAGAGTGTAAAAACCTTATGGCTACATTGTAAACTATTCAAACAAGTGTTCTTCATTGTTGATTGTGAAGAGAAACTAATTTCACATGTATACAAACAGGCTGACAAAGTCCATTGTGTTTAAACTGGACATGTAGAATCAAAAGGAAAACCACACAAATCATTTTCTAATTACTTCACATTCTTACACCTGACAGCAGGAAAAACTGCAACCGTGGCTGTTTGCAGCCACAAGTCATGTCACACAGCCTGATCCTGTGTGTGATTCTGTTCCTGATCCAAGTTACTGGCTGGATGTAGGTAGGATATTTACAACTATCTCACAGTGGTGTGTTTCCACCTCCTAGGCGTTGAACTCTGGACGGACTGTGCCTTCCCTTCTCCTGTGCCCTCCCAACTAGACGTAGTTGGACTTGGGGTTGGTGGTGGACAGGAGGTGGTTGGAGCTTATAGACTCCGAAGACTCGGGCCGCGAGCATCGCCGACAGCCCAGGAAAGCACCACCAGCCATAGTGAGGAGGCCACCGGCCCAGCTGATAAACACTGCCTTACCAAACTCAGAGCTGCCAAGAAAACAAGACATACACACATTTAGATGCATGTGTGTATTTACGAGATCAGTTAGTGTGTGTGTGTGTGTGTGTGTGTGTGTGTGTGTGTGTGTGTGTACTTGGCTTCTCTTGACTGCGGTACCTTTGCAGGTGATTGGACTCATGGAAGGTCTGAATGATCATTTTGACATACCAGGAGGTGATGACGATGGTCAATAAACCTGAAAAAGAAAACACATAATCCATCATATTGTTCATCACAGTAGCGCTCATTTAAATCCTGCTAAGCCCCTACTGATACTGGATCATTTAGGGCTGCAACCAACAATTACCTTCATTGTAGACTGATCTGCTGGTTATTTTCACAATCAGTACTTAAATTGTTTGGCCAATTAAATTAAATTAAAACAGAGGAAAAATGCCCATCACACTTTCTTAAAGCCCAGGACGATGGTATCAAATTGTTTTTGTCAAACATCAAGACTACAGATATTATGTTTATTATCACATAGGACAAAAAAGCAATCAATTAATGTTTATCAAAGTAATTGCCAATTATTTTTCTGTTGATAAAATAATCGATTAATTGACTGATTGTCCCAGTTCTAAAATCTTTTGTGTGTGTATGTGCATGTGTGCTGGTTATTAGGGGATTGATTTGATCTTTTATTATTATTATTATTATTATTATTATTATCATTATTTATAGAATGACTGCAAAAAGTACCAGAAAAGGATCAACTAAAAGATAAAGGAATGATGATGTCATCTGTAAGCATCACTGATTCACTTCATTTTCTGAATTTCATGATATTTGAATTATAAAATAGATTAAGGTAATGACCTACTATATACCTACAACACTGATGAATGTGGATATTGTTACGGACATGTAATTCATTCAGAGCGCCTGTGAATGTCTGTCAGGTCCTGTTACACCAATGAACACACCTGAAACCATGAACATGATTCCTCCGATCATAGCTGCTATGGATTTGCTCTCGGCCCTGCCGTCCATGAAGCGGGTGCACTTCATTCCCACAGTGGAGACCATCAGCGCCACAGTGGAGAGGAAGATGCTGAGCAGCATCACTGCCCTGGTGGCCTGGACTTCAACTGGAGGAACAGAAGTGGGGATGTTGGTACAGTGAACTTCTCACTGATGCAGTTTGTTATTGTTGGAAATGATCTCTTTCTATAAGACACTGCTCATTATACATTACAGTGTATTTCAAGTTTACCCTTTGTCAACAGAAATTAATATAAGATAAAGGCATACTTCTACAAAGGGAGGAGATGTGCAGTACCTAAATTCCAAATGAATAAAAGACAAATCCCTATATAACTCTATACATTCCTGATATGACTATCAGACTGATGCCATGAAGTCAGATGAGGTCAATCCAGAGAGTTAATACAACAAAGACGCACTCCTGGCTAATGATAGTAACTGATGTCAAGAAGCGGTGTCTGGTTTGTAGAGGAGATGCAGATGTGATCAAACGTACCTGGCAGTTTTAGGAGGGACTCGTGTATTTCGCAGGTTGTTATATCATTGCCACTGCAGCTCATCCACAAGCCCTCATAGAAGTAGTGCGTACTGCCCTGCAACCTTTGCTTCCATTCAACCATGAAAGTGGCGGCAACAGTGGCACCGAGACCGGCCAGAGTGAGGAAGAAACCGAGGAGCTGCATTCCCGAGCTGGACATCGTATCCAAACAACAGCAGACAGGACGTCAGAGAATTAAGAAGTCCGACAACTTGGCGGGAAATTAACAAAAATGTGGTGAGGAAAAAGAAGTTTCAAGTTGTCACTGAAGTCAACACTCACTGATTTAAAGTTATTTCCCTTAAAATGCACCTCTAGCTACAGACCGTTATACGCGCTCTCTGCCGCAGCCTCTATTTAAAGTCCTGAGGGCGTGACGCACGAGAGGTCCTACTCCACCTACGCTGGAATGATGGGAAGAAGTCTTCGAGGAGGTGGAGGAGTTTTCAGACTAATTGATAAATGATGGTGAATAGGCTACAGAGCCCTCTGAAGAAAATCGAAACATATGCCAGAGATGTTATAGGCTAAAGTGAGTGTCATGCAGACTTTACAGTCGGCTTGCTGCAGCCAGTGAGCAACACTTACAATGTAATGTAATGTTAATCCTTATAATTAATCTAAAAAAAGAAAAAGCAACACATTCTCATTTAAAAGAAAGCAACAAGTGTTACATTACATTAAGTGTTCACCGAGCTCTCTGGTTAAACTTACACATGTGTGAAAAAACCCAAACAATATGTAGGCTATACTTTTCTCCATGTGGGTTAGTGATGGTCTGGCATGAAAAGTTGGTCATTCCTTTTTTCCATTGTGAGAGACAGACATTTCTCCTTTGCATAAAATGACCACTGCCATGGTTCCTGCATGACTCCATCTTGTAGCACACCTCAGCTCCATTTTTGACCCACAAGCCATAAAGGCACATACACCTGGCTCCCATGTGGAGCTAATGGACATATTGTTATAAAGGGGACCCGGCTGTCAGACGGTCTCTTACTCATGTGAAACCCACAGAGACATGCTGAGAGGAATAGTGGACATGATCAGAGCTCAGGTTTATTGTCATTGCACAGTGAACTGGATACGCTGTGATCTGGTTTTTATTTACCTGTGCAGTTGCACAGGTAAGTCTGGATGCTTGCCTAAATGGTCCCTGCATAAACGGAAACACATACAGTAACAACAACAACAAAAACTAGAAGCAAAGGGACAAAAGCATTAATAAAAGAGGAGGTCTTTGACCCTACTAAGTGATGATTAACATGCTCAATTGTCATTCCATTCCTGAGCAATTCACAACAGCAAGCTTGTGTTTATGTGAAGAAACAGTCTTCATTTTACCCAGACAATTACCAAATTATTTGACCATATTTGGTGAAGGGGATGCCAGTTTATAAACACATTTGACTGTTAGATTGGATCAGTGTCCACCCTTTCCTGAACTAAGCCTCAACCAAAATATTTTGCTGTGATTAAAGTCACAGCTCCTATCTGAGTTTGCCGAAAGCAAGTTGTTTTGTATCCCTCCATTACATGCATTTAGCTAATTTATTTCATTTTCTTCTCTCCCATTGTTTCATATTGCTTTAAAGGTCTGCCCATGACAAACTTTATTTCCAAGGAATTCCTGTTGTATGTTTGCAGCCTGCAGGCAGCATCAGATGGTTAACGACTAAGGAAAACATAGACTAATTTCCCTGTGATTGTCTCAACCTTCCACCAAGTATCAAAACTGGCACATGCACAAAAAAGTTACCAAATCACATGACCTAGGTCTGGTTAGTATCACTTCTTCTTACAGTATGCTCACACTAGAAGAATGTGTAGGTGAAAAATATGTCATCTCCCGTCCAAACAATCTGTTTTCCCACAGAAACAATAATGTTTGTAAATCAGCAGTGACAGCAGTCCACTCCCTGATATATGTAATAACTGATTCCCATACTGGGAGGATTTGGTGAGAATCCTGTGACAAAGATGGTAAATCAAATTGTGATGCATCTGTAGATGTGCTGATCAACATGTGAAACAAGTGCTATGTGTGTGTGTGTGTGTGTGTGTGTGTGTGTGTGTGTGTGTGTGTGTGTGTGTGTGTGTGTGTGTGTGTGTGTGTTGCAGTAGGGACAAAAATGAAGGGTTAGGACTTTAAGGTTTTATGGTTGGGGTTAGAATTAGGATTTCTCGTATATGTGTAGTGAGGGAAGACAGTCTCGCGACAGCCACGACCAGATGCATTATGTCTGTTGTTCTTATTATATAAGATTATATTATATCTTGTCGTTAATGCGATATCTCATTAACACTTAGAGGGAATCCCTTCAAATTTTGCACAAATGTTCACTTGGACTCAAGGATGAACTGATTACAATTTGGTGGTCAAAGGTCATAACTCACAAATTCATATGCTAGTTACAACTCAATTTAACACAACCGTCTATTGGATAAAATGACAGTGACATTTTATATCTGAATAGTCAAAGGTCAACTTCACTGTGATATTGTAACGCTCTTCAAAAACACTTCTGGACATTATTCAATGCTGTAACTCAAGAAGGGTGGGATTGTGACCATATTTCCTGCAACTTCATTGGTTGGTGGAGGCATACAACGCTAATTCTAGTTTTCTTTATTATTTCATGATTTAATTGCATTTTTTTTCATTAATTACCTCTGTCTGCTAATCTTTTGCAGGTTTAGAAGCTTAGAGCCTATCCCAGCTCTCACTGGGCAAGGGGTAGCTACTATCTCAGCTGGTTTCCAATCTGTCACAGGGGTTAAAAATATAGATAAACAACCATTTACACTTTGTGTTCACCAAAATCACATGTCTCTGGACAGTGGGAAAGTCACTTAGGCACAGGACAAAAACACAAAAATCTGAGCTCAGGGCCTTCTCGTGGTAACCAGCGCACTACTACACCTGACTGAATTCCCTCTTTTTATATTCTGCTTGCATGCATGTGAATCTCTGTACCCTAGTGAATCATGTAAACATTTAGTTACTGAACAAAACATCCTGATTTCACCAATACTTTTCTGGTATCTAATAACCTATGTTGACTATGGTTAATACTGTTTGTTGAATTGTTGATGTTGAAGGTAATTTCTGCAGGCAGATGATGCCTGCTGAAAGGGCCAGTAGATAACAGGCTTGGTGAGGATCACTAGTGTCCAAACAATTACAGATGCTCTGAATCGTCACAATGGACATTGCTCTGATTAATCTTGACCGTATCATGTCATTGGCATCATATATTTCACAATTTGCGGCCAGAAATAAATAAGGCCTTCACACTTCCCTTTTAGCTGCCAAAAAAGCAGATTCCTGTGATCCTCAGAATAGATATCATGTGCTCTCCAAAGGGGAAGAGATCACAGAGTGTATGTGTGTGGATGTTCAAATAAGTCTGTAACATTAAAAATGACACTCTTCATTGTGTGATTCAAAACAGGGGAGGACTCACTGTGTGTGACAAGTCAGATTATGGGCAAACTGGCCAATGTGACGATGATTCTGAAGGCTGATCAGCAGATACACTCACTCCCTATAGATGGTCAGGGTCTGAGATGAAGACATCTGGAAAAAAACTGTTACACCCACACACACTCACGAGGACCTAACGATACTAGGTGTCACATTCCGCTTCTAATAACAAATATGACTGTAAGAGCTGTGAAACATAGCAGTATTGTCACATATCAGTGGTGTGATTCACGTCTAATTAAGGATGAAATCTTGACGAAATCTTACCTACGTGCCCCGAAAACTGGTTGAACTGTTTGAATTTGTATTATTTTGTATTCTACTCTGTATTTTTAGTTGCCGTGCTAGCAGCATGGGTGGAAATGCTGCGGTCCTTTGAGATCAGTCGTAAATTCTTTACTGTTTTCTATTAAATCTTTGAGGCCAGTGGATTGTTTTTTTAATGCTACGGAGCTGTGTTGGGATAAACAGGATTATTAAGATGCACATGTTAAATAAAATGTTTTAGTAGAGCATTTTTATGAACTGAGCTGTGAAATGTTTTGACTTCTTTTGTGTCTATGCAGTCTGTATGATATGTTTGGTTTTTTTATTGCACATGTGACCAAACCAGTTTTCCCTCTTATTTTATTGTCTATCACCCACACTGGAAGTAAACACTCCAGTTCTTAGACCCTTCTCGCACAGTTGTCATTAAGGGAATTGGAGCATGACTTTCATCAGTTTACAACTTTCAGTTATGGCTGATGTGTTCCTGTGAACCAGTCTGATTGTTTACATAAATACCTATTTGATTATATTCAGCAGAAGTGGATGATGGTAATAAGCACAGTGAACACATAAATGCCAAGAGGGTGACTGGCTAAGATATGGAAAGACCGCCTTCAAAGAGTTCAGTGGGTACACAGTGCAGTCAACACTAGTTTAACTTAAATACAATTGAAGGCAGGTTTCATTTCAGCAGAAAACAACACTGATACATTTTCAGTGTATACAAGTCATCATCAGAATTCAATGACGTGTCCTGCCACAGGAGAAAAGAATGGAGGTCCCTCTCACTCTCTGTCTTCTCAGGAATTCAGCAGGCCAAACGGCTTCCTGCAAGTGCTGCCTAATTCTCTCCATCGTCTCACAAAAGGAGGAAGCACACATCGTGGAGGAACTACACTCTAATCTCAGTTCTGGGAACAGGAGTGAGCCAATGGAGTTAATTACACCCAAATATTTATTTAGCCATGCTGCTAAGCAGAGAGGAGGGAATTAAAAGGAGGTTAAAGTCATGCGCCTGTATATAATATCTGTGACAAAATAGTTGGACTGTTGTGCAAACGCTGCAAAAAAAAAAAAATACAAACAATTTCTCAAAAGGGACTGCAGCCAACAACTACTAGTGCTACAACATTATACGTAAATTAGCAAGCTTCTCAAAAACTTGGTAAGTGACTTCAGGTCAGGTGGAGAGGCATCTCACACTGCAAAACATGGGAGGAAGATGTCATCTAGTGGCCACTCTAAACCAGACAGCCACCAGGAGCAGGAGTCACTGAACACACACTGGGACACTTACAGTTCCTAAAGCTGACTTCAGTGGCAACGTGAGGGTTCACAAAATACACTGTTCACATTTTACTTCTCAGTAAAGTATCTTATCAACCTGTAGATTTGAAAGTATTTATACTGAGATCACAGCCTGACAATCTAGCTGTAATCACGGGGCAATTTATATGATTTATATGTATATAATATATTTAAAACTACTGGCATGTTGTATCTATGCTAACAGACTTATCTGCAATACTTATGCTGCAATACGCTTTAGACACAAAGTCAATTAACCAAGGTATAACCATCAAATACACAGCCGAGGACCTGCTGGCACAGAGCAAAGTGTCTCCAACTGTTACTGTTAGAAAGGTTTGGAAAAGTAAAGTTCTTTTTAATATTGTAGTTGCATTTTTTAATTCTCATTCTTACAATCATATTATGTGATTTAGTCATTAATCTTATAACACCCAGTGGTCACAGTTGGCCACTGGGAGAATTGGGCTGCCGGTAAGCCTTTCCCACAAACACAGGCGTAAACAGTTATATTAATTACAGACAATTTTCTGTGGGTGTTTCAGTGCCAACACTAATACACTGGTAGCCTACTGTATTGTACATACTGGCGTTACTTACTTCTAAATATGAAAAAAGCCATTGTCAGTATTATTAGGTACACCGGTGCTTTTCCTGCACGATCGCACAGTGTGAGAAAAGTCTTTACGTGACATGTGGACATGTGTTTTTGACTTTCTGTAAGTAGTTTATGCAGTGAGCTATAGTCATTAACTGAAGTTGGCCATGCCTCTTTCTTTCAGATGCGTCATTGACATTTTATACATATTTACTTTGTCAGCTCATGAAATGTGCTACAGTACAAACTCAGCAGATGGTTGTCAGTCTTCTTGTTGACTTGTAAGGCAGAAAGTAAAATGGTATCAGGTGGATGGAAAGCACCAACAATCATGATTGATTCTGACAGAGAAAGGTCTTGTCCAGTAAAGTCAATGCGATGTGTAAAATTAAACATGGTGCAGGTTTTCTTAGGTGCTACTCAGCAACAGTAGTGTACTCAGAGTATTTCTGCAATACAGCTGGGCACTTCAGGGTCCTCCGATGTCAGTGGAGCTTTTGACCACAACAGCACATTTACACAGCATGTACTCCTCAGATCTCTGTAACACTGAGCTACACACTCCTGAATGGCACTCTAACACATGGACAACTTTTTTCCTTCCAAAGGTTAAATCCACAAACTACATAAAGGCTGCTCAGGAAGAACCTAGAACATGCTGCCTACTGTAAGGTCATTCAGAAGACATTTTGACTTTACTATGACACTCATTGTAGTAGGAAAAGTACAGGTTACCGTACAGCATGATTGTATACTGGACCCCGAAACTGAAGCAGCTAACTGGAATTCAGCCATCAATAAGTTTTTAATTTACACCTCTACTTTTCCTACTATTACATGTCAAAATGTTGTTTGTTCAGATGTCTATACCAGCACTAGTGTGCCAACTGTACATGGGTGAAAACCAAGAAAACCGCCCCTAACATGTCTGATCTGCTGATTGTACATTTGTTTCTGATTATAATTATACACTTTTATAAAAATCCAATGTAACATCCCTATATTAGCATTTGAGACTCATATTGCTCTATATATCTACAGTGTCTTGCTTTTTGCGTGTGTGCATGATACACTTTCACATATTACATTTAGCTGTATTGTTCATATTTCTTATTCTTTTTCTCATTTGGTCTTTCAGTGGCTTGGCCTTTAAGTACAACTGGACCAGCTGATTAAAGTCCTAAAGAAAATTCAGTAGCACTCTGTCCTATTGTGCAAGCTGGAACAAAAGCACCCGAGGACGGCCTTGGCATATGTACAAGGGTGACTCCCTGCACAGATGGGCCGAGGTGCTGCTCCAAACCAGTCTGATGTCATTCCTGTATCAGGCACAGCACGGAGTGCCTCGGGCCAAACGGCCTGTTTAATTTTTACACCCCACGATGAGAATGTTTGCCTTTGTCCACATGCCAAGATTCAGGGGCCGTCACCTTCTGAAGCTCCATTTCAATGTTTAAAGTATGACAGACACTCCTCAAGAGCTGTGGGAGTGTCATTCTTAATCTGATTAGGTTCATATAGGAAATATTGAGGCAGGGTAAATAAAAAAAAAAAAAGACCACTGTGCATATGACCTCACATATGAACAAAATGTGAATGTCATATCTCTCACATAGGTCTGATACTACAGGGCTACCTGATATCAAGTGACCTGAATTTATTGTACTCTGTACAGACTCATAGACTATGAGCTCTGGTCTGCAAATGCAAGTTGGATAGATTTGAGTTTAGTGAGTTCAGCTATCAGCTAAAATCCCTGGTTATAAATAGTTAGCACTGATTTTTGGAAAGACAGCGTTGGGCTGAAGGTGTGGTAACAGTGGCAGCTCCAGTCAGTGCAGAATTAATACTTGGCATAGAAAAAGAGCATTAAAGTGCTCAGATTACGAAGCAAAACCAGAAATGTGGTGTTAATTCTTACATATTTTAACTCATCAAGCCAAAGGAGGTAATGTAGCAGATCCTCTTATTACTTTTTCAAATTCAGTTACACATATTAATTTGCAATGGCTGTAATGATCCCCTCCCTTAAAGAGGACAGAGCCTTTTTTTTTTCTCTGTTTAGGGTTGGATCAGTTTAGTGTCTGACAAAATAGTTCTCTGACTACCTCTACCGGTTTTTCCTGAAGATGTGCCCCAGGCTTTATCAGGCCGAGGAAGAGAAAGAGAAAGATTAAAAAACATGCAATGTGTCCGATTAAAGATGACCGTTGCCTTTTCTTTTACAAAGAGAGTGAAGGAATAGTTTTATTTTCTCTCTCAGTAGGATTTACATTTTGATTAAAGCAGAACCTAGATATAGAGAAACGTATTGTACAAGGGTACTTGGCAGTCTCTCTCTCTCTCTCTCTCTTTCTCTAACAAGTGGGTGTGTCTTCATGTCTCGACACGGTGAGCTACAGTTCATAGACAGCTGCACTCATCTCTTTACCTGCCAGGTGAGACAGGGAGCCCACTCTGCGAATAGGCCACAGCAGCTAGCTCATCATTCTCAGGCCACTTGAATGACTGGACGACACCGGCCAGGACAGGTGAGTACACACACAATTACCTGTAAATATATTGTTGTTGTATATATTGTATTATTGAAGCTATGTAACACTGTTAACAAACATAAAGGCCTGCTAGTTATGATGCATGTCACCATGTTCTTTTCAGTTTTCAGTGCAAACACCTGTTGTGGCTGATCTGTGACTCTGTGCTGATAGTGCGGCACACAGTCATGAGTCAAACGAATCTGCGAACATATCAAACCAGTCTGAGCCCGAGCATGAATAAATATTTGCTTGAGTTCCTTCCTGTATTATTTGTATTTTGAGGTACAGCAGGTAGGCTATAGGAAGAGCAGGATCACACGTGCACTAATGAAACATTTCCACCCCCCACACAATACACAAGTGTGTTGGCATACAAAACAGTAACTATTGTTTCTCTTCACAGGCTGATTTTACAGCAGTTCTGTTACCCGCACAGCTGGAAACTTTGCCTGGGAATTTCTGTGCTCACAAATTTCAGTCATTGTTTCTGGTCGTGTGTGTAATGTGCATCCAAGAACCAAACTGTGGAGTTACGGATGGGTTTTTTTCTGGGAGACTCTCAAGAGATTGACTGTTAGATTTCAGGCTTACGTGCAAAATTGAAGTCTGTTTTTGAAATATGTCTGAGTGTTTCTAAAAAAACTGACAGACAAATGGATGACAGCCTGAAACACTGCTGAGCCCTGTTGTCTGGAAAGCATAGCCAAAACCTGAATCGTAATTGTGGAAACTGGCAATATCTATCAAAGCAACACTGGGATTTACTTGCTACCGGCCAAATGTTGGTAGGCTGTATGTTTAATTGTCCTATAAATACATCAGGTATCCAAGCAGTAAGATATTTGATGAACATTTTCAAAGATGATATAAAATTTCACTACATCCTAAAGCCACTAGGAGTAAAACAGATATGTCTGATTGTGAAACTCTTAATCTCCCAGCAGCAGCAGCTACATTTCTGGTTTTGGAGATGTAGCTTCCAGTAATTTGGTTGTGACATAGCCCTCTGAGGGCATGGCAGTGGTGTTACCACATGCAGATGAAGCATCAGTATGACAGGTATGTTGGTGAACCAGCTCCACTTAGCCAATGATGGGTGTGACTCTGTTCTTTATTTATTAAAAAACGCTAATGATAAAGGGCTACCCGTCACTGACAGTTCAAGGTCTACGTATAAGGAAATTGCATTGAGGAAAAGATGAAGCACATGATTGATTTTAAGAAAGAAGTGTAAGATCAAAAAAGCAAAAGGATTAAGCTAAGATTAAAGTATTTTGTTTAACAAAATCCCATCTAGGGACAAATTTTGTAAATGAGATTGTGTTCAGTGAATTGTGTATCTGCTCCTACATAAATAAACATGAGAAACAAATGCTTGTGCAGCAGTTACCACTGTATATGGAACCGTTGTCTTGTCCTAATGGTCTTTTAGCTTGAATTAGTGCAGTTAACATTTGTGTGTGTAAACAGCTGGAGGTCTGCACAAAGTTTAAACAGGTTTCTGCCTTTCACGTGGTATTGTTGAGCTAAAGTGTGCTAATACTGACCGGGATTACCTGCGTCAACACTTTTAAGAGTGACACATTATGTAACATTCTGGAGGGAGAGTGTGGTGTTGAAGAGGAGGCATAAATCGTCATTTCGTGGCCGCTGAGGGGAAGCTTAAAACCTGTACTGCAGGTAGACAACATGCTTAGGTAACAATAAAAGGGTAAAGCGTGTGTAGGGAAGTCACTTAAAAAAAAAAAAAAAAGATAAGAAAAAAGACCTGAACATATATTTTAAGGTTATTTTAGGCTTGCACTCCTCTGCGCTCACTCAAACACACTGGGCAGCATCATATGTTTCAGTGGCTTAACCGTGACTTCATGAACGAGTCGTATTCATAAACGGTGGAAATGCTGATACAGTTTATTACATTTTGAAATGCTATAATTAAAAGCAACTGGTTAATTCATTTTACTTAAAAAAAAAAAAAGAAAAAAAAGAAAAAGTTCTGTTACAGCAAGTGCCAACACATATGTGTTGATTCGTGATTGGTAGATTGCATACAAGCCCTGGATTAAAGAAAATTTATAAACATAACACTCAATGTTTGATGTAGACAGCACTCGAATCTAAAGTCTGATTCACAACATCCACGAATACACAATCAAAGAGACATCCTGATTAGATTCATTTTGTTTTGTTTTTTTTAATTGCCAACAAGTCCACAAGGTGGTGCTCTCATCACAGAATAAATTAGGAGTCCCACCTTGGTGGGTGTGGTAGTTCTGCTACAACCACAACAACTTGAAGCTTTTCCCCTTTTCAAGTCCCTGAAAAAATGACAAACATATGGCACAAATCCCATTCTGTCAACAGCCATTAGCACATTATCAATTCAATAACACCAGTATGTATTGCTGCATGTGCTCAGCAATACAAACATCTCACACTTAGGCAAAGAAAACTACACATTTTCTCTGAACAGGGAGGGAATCATTTTAGAAGCTGATTTATAATTTCAGCAACATTTATTACAACGTGAACACATGGAAGTAGCACTGAGGCCAGCCGAGTCCACCTCAATGTTCAAAGACTGAATCAGTTTGTTGCCATTATATAAACATTTCAGTAAACTCAAAAGCTTAAATGTGCTCTTCATTTTCCATATCATTCTTATTCAATATGAACAGAAAATAATGGATTCTGCAGCAGTAAAAACAGTAAAATAGGTCCCTTTGAGAAGTATAATATGTTTGTGTTAGTTTTTCCAGCTAATCCTGTGACTGAATTACCCTCCATCCAGATGCACTTCTATTGTGGGAACGTTTGCCTTTTCTGCAGGCAGGAAGTGATGTCTGCCTTTGAGTTTGAAACAAAGAGAAGAGGATTGGAACAGACAGTGGGAAAGTTTAGGGGGTATAGAAAGTATGGGAACAATCTGAGGAAAGACCAACAAGATTCTGTGTAAAAATAAAATATAAGGCTCCCTTTCTGAACAATAACTAGTGGGACACAAGATATTAGGACTGAAGTGAAAATCTTGTATTTTCCACAAGACATAATTTGGTAACACAAGCTTAAAAAAAACAAAAACAAAAACAAAAAACAACATATATTTACATTTAAATAAAACAAGCAGATATTCAATTGCACAATGTCTGTGCCATAAGCACAAGCATGAATTCAGGTTTGACACAGCAATGTACATGCATTTCATTTCTGGTTCTTTTATGAGCCAGTTTTGGTTTGTAAATGACAAGCTGACATGAAATAGAAAAGTGATACATTGAACAGCAGTATATGAGCTAGCACATATTTTGTTCATTCACAAAGAGAAGGTTATTGGCTTTTTGTGGCTTTAGCCCTTTCTGACAAAAAAGAAGAGGGAGCCAGTTAATTTGATATAGAGCTGAAATGCATGTACACAGTTGTACACTTTCAGTAAGCATGCACATAGAAACAGTGAGTCATACACAGAATATCATCCATCCACTTTCAGTTGAAGGGTGACAGGGTTAAAAACAAAGTGCCCCTCACAAGCAGAAGAAGACATAGCCTACAGCCAATTAAATGTCCATGGGTCATCACAAAGCTCCACCTCCTCTGCACTGGAACAAGGTGGTAAACATGTCAAAGCCAAAACTGCCAGCATCTTGATAAAAGGCTTATTTTTTGTTTTGTTTGAATACAGGAACAGAAACGTATCCCTCCAGAGTCATACGCTGTGTGGCACATGGATAGGACTTGCGTAGCCTCGCTGAACAGGATGACAAGAAATAAAACTGCAGCACGGGTGATACAAAGCAGCTGCCATGTTGGTATCTAAGACACTGTAGCATCCATGTTGGACCAGACAGGCACGTCCCATGAGGAGTCATGAGGAAATTTGAGATTGCATGGTTATATCCAGCAGAGGCCTCGAGCCCTTGTGATGGCATGGTCCACAGATGGGACGAACATCAGCACACGATGAGCACAGCAAATGAGGAGCCAGTTCCTCTGTTTCAACAGCTAAGAACCATGGGAGTTTATGTCACAAGGCTGCTCTTTTGGCTTGTCTTGATGTCAAGTCAGTTAAAAGAAATAATATTTATCACAATTTACAAATTAAAAAAAGGAAAAGATGAGTGTGGTTCCAGCACTCACAGACCCACTTCCTTAACCCTGGGCCAACTTTGGAGGGTACTATAAAAAAAGATAAGACCATTGCCAACTCATTAGATTGTTCCAAGGCTTTTGGTCAACAGAGTGTGAATGGCTGAAAGCAAAGATGAATTAAAAAAAAAAAAAAGAAAAAAAAAAGAGGACGAAGGAGAACTGACAGTATGTCTGGACATGGCAGAGAGCCTGAGTCACCGCTTGTAATAGGCACCTGGAAAAGACGGAAGAGACAGCGAGATCCATCAGCACACCAAGATGTATTGTAGCTGTAGTGTTTTTGTACTACAATCAGCTTTTTCTTCTTCAAGATCTGGAATTACATCCTGCTGTCTGGACTCTGCTGTTTGCACTAACTACTCTTATAGCTATGTGAAACAAGTATTATTTACGCTTCAGTGAAATACACCACTTCCCCGGACGTCCTGGTCGCCTGAGGGTTGACGGCGCAGAAAACAAACCACAATCTTCCCCATCTCTCTTTCCCCTTATTTCCTGTTATGTCTCAACTGTAAACTCAAAAATAAGCTAAAAAAAAAAGAAAAGAAAAAGTTCATCACTTCCTGTGTGCCAGTTGTCAAGTCTCAGGGGAAGCATACCCAATACCAGGTGCTAAAACCACCAAATGTAAAAATTTACATTACATGAATATGGACTGACTGTATGGGTTAATTTAAGCAGTGGTAGGAACATTTACAGTAGTGCTGCAGCAATTACTAGATTAATCCATCAGAAGATGCTAAACTAAACTAACTAAACTAATCAATTGATCATTTCAGTCATTTTTCCCCTGGCAAGAAGGATGGATTTCTTCTTTGTCAACTATAATTGTAGAGAAATATTTGGGTATATTTTATATATATATATATTTGGATTTGGACTGATGGTCAGGCAAAATGAGCAAATTTTGCACTTACTTTCACCATTTATTAATACATTATGGATCAGATGATTAATTGATTTATGGAGAAAACAAACAGTTATGAAAATAATAATTTGTTGTACTTCTAGATTTTGATACATTATATAAAGGGTGTATAAGCTAAAATAAATAAACAAATAACTAACTAACTAAGTGCAGATTTCTTTCCAGAATATGTGCACTCAGACAGTCATGCCTTCTGGAGGCACACAGACTAACAAGTGAAAAGATTCACATCAAGCTACAAAAAAGTCCAACTGAACCAAAGAATGAACATGTGATGTGGTATAGAAAAATAACAAGCAGTACTGCTTATAATATGCAATTTGTTGTCAATATGCACTACTGAAAAATCACCAATGTGGTCATTAAACACAGGGCACATCTTTATTTAATGAGATGGTACTTTATGTTAGAATGAAGTAAATACAGCCAGTCCTTCACATGGACATCATACCTTTGTAAGCAGCCTCAGGTCTTGTGGGAGCACGAGGGGGGACAGGGTTGTCTGAGTAGCCGAAGCCAGGGTTCACATTCTCATAGTCGTGTGGACGAGGCTGAGGAGGCCTGAGACAGACAGAGTGAGGAAAACCGAGACAGAAAACAAATGTAATGACTGAGTTTCTGTTTCTTGGCTGGCTGGAAACATTTGGTCTTAAGAAGTAATGAGTCTTGTACCTGGCAGGCTTGTTCTGGTTCTTCTGCCTCTGGTATTCATACTCATCTCGTGTTCTGGGCCGGACGACTTCCTCTGAATTTGGCTTGAACCCAAAAAAAATTACGGTTCCCTAAAATTATGGTTCTTGTACCACAGTGGAAACACTTTTATATAAAATATGCTGCAAACACATTCCACCCCAGGTTTTAAAATGAGTATGTTTATGGAAATTTACCCTGTTGTCGCCCTCTGGCCTCCTCCTTTCCATTGCCATCTTCTCCATGGCCAACCTCTCCCTCTCTCGTTCCTTCTCTTTCTCCCGTTCTCGATTCTTCCTGTACTCCTTCTTCTCTTGTTCCATCAGCAGTCGGGCCATTTCCTGTCAGAGCAAGATAAGACTCGATGTGTGGGTGACACACTGATTGTGTTTCATATGACATACTGTATATTCTGAACAGTAATTAGAAAACACCCAGCTTACAGTCATATGTCCTTTTTAAAATAGCATGAAATAACAACACTTGTACATTACTGGGCTATTTCCTCTAAAGTAATGCCTGGTTTAGACATGGCTTTATTCACATAGGATGATATGACGAAGATGATTCAATTGGCTGAGTTCAGGAAATGAACTGTTATTAAAAGTTTACAGACTTTATGCTCACTCACCTCATCCTGTGCCACTTGGGCTGCACGTATATGCACCTTGCTTGCCTAAAACCCGAAAACAATCAAAAGATCATATTCTCCCCAGAATGGAACACATTGTTCTGACATTATATAACACATGGAAATGACTGCGATTGAGGCCCAAAGACCCAATTCTATAGAAAACTGAACAGCCTCCAACATACCAAAGTCCACTGGTGTGAAGAATTGACATTGTACTTGTTACATTGGGCCTATTATATGCCTACTCTTTACATATTGGATTTATCATAAGCTCAAAATCTGACTTTGTATATCTGACCTGATTTTCATTATCCAGGAGCTGGATGTTAGTATTCAGCTCCTGCTCTTTGTAGCCCTCACTAATACCAAGTTTAAGTGCTTGAGGTTGCTCTTGGCTTACAGTATTTATTACCAGGTCTTAATGCGTTTTTACCATGCACAGTTAGAAATTTTGGGATCTCTCAGCAGAACTTGGCAGCTTAATGGTGGAAGAGTTGTTACAAAATCAGATCAACCTACACATTATCATGCTTCAGTTCACTTTTTGATTTTCTTTTCATCTCAAACATAAAACTGTTCACCGATCCTTTGTATGCACAAATAAAAAAAAAAAATCTTATACCTTTTTAGCTTCCTTCCCCACCTTGATTTCCTCCTCTTGCAGTTTCCTGGCCACCTCCATGTCCTTTAGCTCCTGCTCTCGGAGATCAAGCTTCGTCAACCCCTTGGTGGCCTCGCTCAGCCCATACTCAGTTTCTGCTACTACTGCTCCACTCCCTCGGTGCACAATACGACCTGTGGATGTCCCCACATAATATTAACAACAAATTTGAGCTGAAACCAATAATTATTTTCATAATTGTATAATCAGTTGCTTTTTTTTAATTTTTTTTTTTTTTATAAAGATCAATTGTTTAGTCTTCAAGGCATCAGAAAAAAATATTATGAGAATTTCCTGAGGGGGTGGGGTATGTATGACAGAAAATTGGTAAAACTCAAATCTGAGGGGATGGAGCCAGAATGTTTTTGGCATTTTGTTAAATTACACAATGAAATTATTAAAAAATGATTATCAAAATAATTTATCAATCAACGATTAATTGACTACTTGTTTCTGGACTACAATACATAAAACTGTGGTTGGATTAAAGCCGTAAGGCACCCAAAAAGGGCTGCGGTGCATCTCCAGTGGTGTTTATCACTATGTTTTGTTTCATGCCTTTCACATTTTTGGGATAGAACCAGCTCAGCTGTGCAGCCCTTTGTGAATGCCGAAATTTTAGCCCAACAAAAATCCATGGAGCTATTAGAAAATCACAACACAGGTTTCAGTTTCAGCACAGTGTAATCGTTGCCTTGTTCAACAACACAATAGACAATGCAAGAATGAGTGAACCCCACAGCACAACAGCAACAGTTCCAATCACTTCAAACCATTGAAATCTGAATCACATCAATCGTCAGAAATTATTGTGAAATCTTTGTTGTCTTCATGAGAAGAGAGAAAATTAGTATCTTCATTAGTGATTGCCATGTTACAGTAGATGAACCCACCACCTGAGATTGCCACTGCGAAAAAAGCAACTGGAGCACACCACACAAACACCCCCGCAGAGCCCAGAGGGAGGCTCAGGGTGATACCTGTCTCTCCGTTGGGGTGAGTATGAATGCGTTCCCTGCCAGGACCCTCGCGCTGCCGAGGGTCCCAGAGTTCCTTGGCGACCCCTCTCCCTTCATCGCTCCTGGGCTCGTCAAACACGTCTTCGTAGGCAGAGTGGACATGCTGCTGGCCCCTGGCTCTCTTCTCCCTCTCACCATCCTCCTCTTCCTCCATCCAGGAAGCCTTGCCCTCCCTCGACCTGCTATGACCCTGCTCCAAATAAGCCTGATCAAGTCCTGTGTCCCTGCTCCTGGTTCTTGCTCCTGATCTGTCTTTGTCTTTCTGTCTTTGCCCGTCCCTCTCTCTGTGTCTGTCCCCAGTGTGTCCTCTATCTCTGGATCTTTCCCTGTCTCTTCCTCCTGTTCTCGCCCCCCTGAGGTCCTGCTCCCTGTCTCTCCTCTGGTCTTTTCCCATATGCTTTTCCCATTCCAGGTCCCTGCCCCTGTCTCGGTCACGTTGCCTGTCCCTTTCTCTGTCCCATGCCTTGTCTCTCTCTATGGGGATGTGTGGTGGAGGGGGTCTGGCTGGTCTCTCCTTCCTCCTCACCACTCTCTCTGTGTCCTCCCATCCTAGGCCTGTGGCTCTGCAAATCTCTGCGGGTTCATACTCTGGATACCTGTCCCCATGCTTGCCTCTGGAGGAGAGCAGATGCTCTGGGTACGGATCTGCATGCCTGCTTCGCCCTCCCTCCGCCACCAGGTGGTGCTCAGGGTATCTGGAGTGGCTATGGGGTGCTGCTGGGTCCTGTCTTGGATACCTGCTCCTTTTGGCCTCTATTGAGCTATAATCTGGGGAGTAATCACGATGTGAGCTCACTGGTGCATACGGATCATATCGGCCTGGGGAAGTTGATTTGTGACGAGTGTGTTTGTCCAAATCAACAGGTCTTCTTGCAGCTGAGCAGAGATGAAGGAGTGAGGGTGTGAGGAGGGCAGAGTGGAGAGAATGATGATGGTTGATGAGAACATGAGGTGAAAAATAACACAGATAAGAATGATATAAGCTGAGATGGTTAGTAAGCATTGAGCTAGACAGAACCAGTGAGGAGAATGATGGTCACACTCTTTATATTTATAGTATATGCTATAAATGTAAACAGTATGGGAATTAGCTGCACTCAAAATATCCAGAGATGTCGTTATTGCTCTTGGAAAATTAGAATAAGGTGAAGTCAGTGGCAACAAGTGTTTGTAAGTTAAATAAAATACACTTATAAATGCAGGGCAGTCGTACAGAATGGAAAACCTCCTAACACTTCAGACTTTTGACATGACATAACGAACATCCAATTATGTGCTATTAACACCTTTGAATATATTGGGGGTTGTTTGACGCACACAAATGAAAATCAATGTGACAGACTCGACAACCAAGCAAATACCGTATTATAACCAGAGCATGACTAACTTAAATGAAAAAGCTGAACTTGAACACCATCCTACTGCGAGTTGGCCTGTGACTGACAAAAGTTTGAATGAAAACAAGTGAGTGGAAAAGCACGCAGTAAAGGCAAGTTCTCTCTGCCCTGAGAGTCAGCTCAATGGAATTCCAGCCATCTAACCTGCTGTCTAACGTCTAATCAACTTTGTTGACATTCAAACTTTAAAAAAAAAAAAAGAAAGAAAGAAAAAATTAGGCAGGTACAAATGACAGCCTGACTGATACCTGCCTCAAAATGACATAGCTGGTTAAAGTGTTTGCTCTCTTCCGTTTCATTTGACTTTTAAATACACTCCTCCATCTTCCTCTCCATTTGCCTCCCTATCTTTTTCCAGTTCTGTACCTGTCAAGTGGGGGTAGGTTTTGCCCCCACGTGGGTTTATGTGCAACTGTAATCCACTGGATTAAGACAAACACAGCCAGCAGCCTCTCATTTCCTGAGGAGAAGCCAATTACACGGCCCGATGAGAAGCTACATGATATCACACAAGTGTGAATGTGTGTTTACATGTGCATAAGAAGGACATAAAAAACTAATGGAGTGGAGATTTTAAATGTAACACTTTTACACAGATTTGAAATGTAACACTTTTACACAGATTTGAAATGTAACACTGTAACAAGAATTCACATACAAGTGCAAGACGGTGAAAATGCTCAGAGATTGATTTTCAAAACTAAACCCCTTTGTGCACAGTGACAATCTTTTAACCTGCATGAAATGTATCTGGTTACTAACTTTTACGTCTTTCCATTAGAGTATTAGACAGAGGGGGAAATAAAGGTGCAAAATCTTTGCTCCACTGTAAGCACATTCACACTTCTTCAGTTGTATGCACACACGCACTCAGCAGGGGCATTAGAGGTGTGTGGTTATGTAACGTACAAGGCTTCAAATCAAACATAGTGAGCCTGGCAGTGGAACAAATATTCAAGTATAAAGGAGAGTAGGGCAGAGTGGCAGAGTCAGCAAGAGCGTAGCTTCATCCTGACCACCTGCCATGTAAAGCACAGTGGCGTCTGGTGATCCATATAGACACAACAATGTAGACAGGTAGACAGCTAGAGACAATTGCCCAGTCCTGTTTGTGTCAACAAAGAGGCCAATGTCTGTGTCAACGCAACACTGTGTACACTTCAAACCCCACCAGAGAAACTACTCTCATTGCCTCTCTGTTCACAGCCACCACCTCTTTCTGTCCCTTTTTGTATCCCATGTTTTATTTACATGCATATCCACAAAGCTTAAGGAGTGAGCGAGCTTAAAAATTCTGTCATCAACATTGTAACAGGACAAATAATAAAAAAAAACAAAAGAACCAATTCAACTGCAACCTGCCGGTGGAGGTAAAACCAATGAGGTTTGAATATTTGTGCATCACTGAAAATAAACAGCTGGGAGAGTGAAAAAAAAAAGAGAAGGCAGAGGATGATTAATTTGTGTTATGAAGTTGACTAAAAATCATTTTCCTTCTCTGCTCACCATCTAGGGAGAACATGAGTGGTGGCAGTGGGTGCTAAATGTCATCCTCTGGAGAGGAGGAAAACTGGGAGTCAGTGTGCCAGATTTGATTCACGAGTGTTTTGAGCTTTTATGAGGAGGAGATGTTATAAAGAATTTATAAAGAATAGATTTCCCTCCTACACTCAAAGTCACACCTGTGGCTCAAGAAGTACAACTGCATTCAGACATAGCTGCCCTACTCTAAAATGTCTGATGGTCCTTTGCTATAAAAGCCTGTGCTGAACCTGCATCTCTCAACGTGGAGATGGACGCAGGGTCAACCTCTCACAGGTTACTTGACAGAGGGCAACAACTTACAAGGAAGTCAGAGAAAAGAGGAAGATTAAAATGAGTCACTGTCTCTCTTTCAGCAGAAAATGAACAGACCTCCAGTGAGATGAATCACACAGAGGTGTGATGTTTGCATGAAAAGACTTGAAATGGATTTGTTATACGTAATGAAAAGGCTAGATGTATAAAAGCATGCCCAGTTAAAACAAATATCTTTTAGGCGAGTATGTAACACCATTTAAGTGTTTTTCGTAATGCATTTGGTGCCCACTAACTCGAGATTCATTTTGCATGTGAGGTTAAATCTGATATCAAAGCAGGTTTAAGCTACATCTTTAAACTGGAGCACTCATTTAGTCGTGTTTGCTCTTGAATGGGAACAAGATGACGAATTATTTCTCTGTAGGAACGTGTAAGCCTCTCTTCAAGGTTAATTATGTGCTTATGAATGCATTCCAAAATCTTTGCCTCGAGTCAGGAACAATCTCCAGAGAAGTGCAGCATCAAAAGCATACCCTCACAAATCCAGAGCTGGGAAAAAAAACAAAAAAAAAAAAACATCCGGGTCCAAAAAAAGAGAATCATATCTTCTCCCATGTCCTTAACCACAGACGAGCTCAGACGGGCAACAAATACATGTGAAATATACACAGACAAAGAAACAGCCACACATTAATATGAGCCTGTGGTGCTCTACCCACCTCCATGATCCTCAAAGTACTCCTCCTCAAAGTTTGCTTCCAGCTGCTTCTGTCTCTTCCTTTCGTCTTTCATCTCCTTCTCCTGCAGCTTACGAGCTATGGCCTACAAACAAATAAGGCAACAGTAAACATGTTGTCCCACATGAATATGACAAAGTCCCTGTTTGGCCCGATCTGTAACAAATATATCACTTTGTTTTGAGATGGAGTTTTGTTTTTGTTTTTTTTTTCTTATGCCAGTCACTGTAGTTTCAAAACATATCGGATTATAGTGGTGAGCTCAATCGTTCCCTGATGCTTTGGATAAATCACACAAGTTGAGCAAGTGCTGTAGTGGGTTACTCAGGCAAGTTAGTACATTTTTTCATTTTTTCATAGCACCACAGAGCAATGAGACCACATCAACAATATCATGTTAAACATTTACAAAAACATCCTAAACTCAGCTCAGAACATCGAGATTACGACCTTGAGAAGTAAAAATACAGGCTCTGTCACTTTGGCTATTACTCCATTACAACATCTCGAGTGGAATGACCCACCCGTTACAGTACATCGATACCAGAAGTCAAGTCATTGGATGCAACCAACACTGCGCTTGAATGTGCAGAAAGGTCTGATCTCGTGTGTGTGTGTAATGTGTGAGTAGTGTGTGTGTAATGTGTTCTTACCGCATCCTTTTCTTCTTGCTGTCGCTGTTGTTCTGCCTGTCGGACCAGTTGTTCCTGAATCTCCTGAGCGATCTCATTATCTTGGCGCTCACTGAGGTTTCCCATGGATCACAATGTGTAAATGGGGAAGGGGTAGGACAACATTACAACACTGATATAATATAATAATACAACTTGTAATAGTAAGAATATTGACGATGATAATGTGAATAAAAGCACATTTTTCACACACAGTAAACAGGCTTTACTTCTAATGTTTTATCCATAGTCTTATACTTTTCTCATATTTTTCTGAGTGCTTACAGTTGATGCTTCCGTTGCCATTTTGCTGGTAACTAATTCACCTAAATACAATTCAAACTCACATGCCCTAATTCTGACTGACTTAACATGGCAGACTGAGATTTTCAAAAGTAATAAAAACCCAAACACACACTTTAACACTGCCAAAACCCTAATTATTATTTATGGACATATCACAATATGCTATCTATGATTAAATAGTTCAATTACATAAGAGCAGTAAACACACCAAGAGCCCAGCTTTGAAATTGTCCAGCATGTTGTGAGGGATAGTGTGTGCTCTTCAGGCGAGAGCGGGAGCGTCTTCGCCTGTTGTGAAGCTGATCTCACCAGCTCGCTTTGATTCACTCTTAAACAACGTGATCTTGACAACAACACCATCTGTCTGGAGGGCTGGTATGCAAAAATCATTTCTCTCTCCGTGTGTGTACACATACATGTGTGTAATGCTTTACTCAAAAAGGAACTGTAGGAACAGCTTAGCTACCATGCGCTTCACCTGTATTTGACCTGAGCAGCTGACAGCTTAGGAGAAGCACCTGAGCATGCATTCATCAGTATACACTAAGAAGCAAGGGACGCTGCATTCCCCTGTGTGTCTGTGTTTAGTCAAATGTGAGAGTGGGTGTATGTGAAGTGTCACTGGCAAGAGCAGTGTGGATGGCAGTGTGAGCTCCCAGCATGACAAGCAGCATTGGCCCACCTGCATCCGTGGTGGAGCATCTGGCCTCTCTCTGTGGGTGCAATACCACTCCTGTAACTATGTCTGTGTGTGCCTGAAACAGTGACCTCATTGAGCTGTGAGTCAGCACTTTTTATTTCAATAACAATTGCAGAGCAGATAGAAATACTTTAAATCCAAGTTCCTTTTTGCATGCTCTGTTGCAGCTCCTGGTCTGGACTGAGGCAGAGGCAACAGAACAACAGAACACGTAGCTATGTTTAGTTAAGTCACTGAAGCTTGATTTATGCTTCTGCATCAGGCCATTGTGGATAGTACATGTGGATGCTGCATAGTTTTGGACGTGCAGCTGGAGCTGACCCAAACCCCTGAAGAAATATATTTATACATCAGGGCTATGGGTGATTCCACAGAGACCACAAGAGATGTGAATGAACTGCTTGGGCTGTTTGTGTTTTCTCCTACATGTTTAGGACGCCACTCACAGTTGTTGATGGGGAAAACAACGTATCAAAATGACAAGAGGCTAAATAATCTTTCCCTTTTTTGTTGTGTTAGTGTTGAGTTGAAGGAATGTATTGTATCTGACCTAGTGATCTGTCATCGCTCTCTAGTACAAACTGAATGAAAGAAAGTAAACAGGCTTACTTCTGGTAATGAATGCAAGACATGACCCACTAATTTAAAACAATAAAAGTGCTAACCCTACAATGAATGCTAAATTTACTTTGGGGCATGTATGGTGGGACTGCTGGATCACCTCACTGGACAAGCATGAATCTGTTTTAGGTATAGGGTTTGGGAACAATTACACTACATTACAATAATCTGAAACAGATGCTATCAACAAAGCAATTTGCAAAGTATTCTGATGACTTCATGAAGTTATGAGGGGCAAATGGCATTTAAGACAAAATTAAACCAACACAGTTCAATTCATAATTCTGTGCTTGATGGATATAGCTATACAATTAAAACCAGATAACAGCTTTCAACTAAACTCTGGATCTCATGTAATTTACTGTCATTTTGCAAGTGCAATGAACTAATTTAGATTTTTACCAGGTGATCACCCAGCCATGTCTCCTCTTTATAGGTTACCATCTCCTCTAGGTCCAACAATGTTTGCCTGTGTTATTGTCCATTTTTCCAAGTGTGATTTGCTTTGATATAGACACAGTATATAAAAGGTGAGAGAGAGAGAGAGAGAGAGAGAGAGAGAGAGAGAGAGAGAGAGAGAGAGAGACCCACATGTCAACATGCTGTTTCTGGCTCTGGATCTTGGCCCTCTTATCCTCCTCCTCCTGCAGCTTCTTGGCCACCTGCAGGTCCTTCTGCACCAGACGGCTCTTATGGACGTTGGACGCCAAGTGGCTCTCAACTGTAGACACAAAACACATAAGCACTGCTCTTAAAAACTGTGGACACACAAACCAGAATAGGTCAGCTGGCTGGACCGCACTACTGATGAGGAATTAGATGGATGATGAAAATTAGAGCACTGGGGAGTTCATTTACAGATCCACACTTTCTTGATAGTCTACTCTCAGAGGAGGAGTAGCATTGTTTAGATGGTCTGCAGAGAACAAGATCAACGTTGATGACACAGACCATTCAGACTGGTAATAAACAGAGAGCGCTCTTAGTCATTGAGAAATGAATGTTCACATCTGAGGTATCATTCCAAGGTTGTGTGATGGCACGTTGTGGGCCATAACAGATGATAAATCCTGCTTGCTGACGCACTCAATGCGCTTTGTAAGCATGGAGAGCATCACTCACTTGTTCAGCTCTGTTTTACTCGCCTATCGATCTGTTGCCAGCTTTCACGTGAAAAGGACCAAATTACATTTGGCAATTTACCCGTGAGAGGCTCCATAAAGTTTCTGCTTTCCGACTGGTGAGATTGAAACGGGAAACTGTGAGTCACAGCTGTGGCAACTTGGTAAAAAGTCAAAGGACTGACATTGATTTTTTTGTATGACGCTGATCAAATGTTTAAGTTTATGACACCTCACAAAAAAAATATTTGACGATTTGACGACAAAACTGATGTCACAGCCCAAGATAAGGCTATCATTTATCCACTGCTAGGCTTTTAAACTAGAAGATTGATTCCTTTTTTCAAAGAAAAAAAGAAAAAAAGACCTGTCATTGTGACATTCATTCAACAAACTCAACCTTGAAGAGCTCTCACGTAATTATAGACAAGGAAGTTTGGGTGAGAAAGCTGGACTATCTGAACCTCAGACATGTCAGTGTGGAGCTGTACACTGAAACAGACTCCAGAAACAAAGGCGCCAAGTGCTGACATAGCCATAAAGAAATGTTTTCCAAGCAACATTTGAATGCCTCAGCATTTTGCATGCTCAACATTTTGAATGGAAATAAAAGCCAGCTGTAACTCCACATTAACGTGGAGTGAATGTGCTAAAAAGGCACGTTTGGGATGGCCATCTGTCGATGTGATCCAGGAAATAAAAGGGACACTGCATATTTAGAGAACTGTCAAACTATGTCAGCTGGCATTCTCCTCGATGACCTCCAGGGTCAAAGGTGAAACAAACAATTTTCTGGCTCAAGCCAGATCAGTTAGTGTGGCAACAAAGGGAGATGAACATTAGGTTATGGATCACTAAGGCTTTAAAAAGGGTTAACGACAACACAAGGACAGGCCAGCCAAAACCAAATTAATCACAGCTAAAAGAGAGTCTAATCTGCACTTAAGGTATGGTTGGGTGACATCTGGCCATCTATCTTGTGGAGCTTGATGCATTTACCAACGCTCTAAATTTATCCATCCCTTCGAAACAAAAGCTGACCAAAAAAGAAAATCTGAACAAAAGCTATAGCCTCTTTCTAATGGTTCCTGTCACATCTCTGGGAATGAGTGCAGGTGAAGGATATGGGGGGGTGTGGTGGCCATTGGCCTTCTGAGGATATTCATTTGTGTCTGATGAAAGGAGGGCCTTATTATGTCTGGGTTTGTAAGTCTGCCTTGGCAACTCATCCGGAGATATCTTAACCTACAGTGAAGGACAAGCAGTTCTTGAGAGCATTTCCATTAAGACACTAAAGCAAAATAGAGCTTTTGATAAGAGCAAAAAAGTTTATAAGTAATAGACATCATCATGAGATTTCAACAATTTATCTGAATGCACTTACTAAAAGATTAGCAGAAGGGGAACAAACCTTCTATGGTGAGTCTCCAAAGTGCTTTTTTAAATCATGTGAAAAAGATGCCGGCTAATTACACACATATGAGCTCACATGAAAGCACCAGCTAATCTAATGAGGCATGCAGGGACAAACACGTAGCTAACAGCAGTTAGGGAGTGTGTACTTTTGTCCATCATGTACACACAAAACAATCCTTTACAAGCACACACACTCACAAAGTGAGAGACAATAGTATCTCACATTGTGTCTCATATAAAAACCCTTGCTAAGCTCATTGCACTGTCTAACTTCAGATCCAGAATCTCTCTGTGCTACAGCTGCAGCACACACAATTAATGTGATCCAGACAAATCACATGCACCAGTCCACTGTATTCTGCCACGGCCCTGCTCTGATACAGTATTGTTGTGGCATCCTACACCATTCACATGGTGAACTGTGTGGCTAAAGCAGGGTTTATGTAGGCTTAATCAGGCTGCAGCCACTGACACCGCAGTTTAGCCTGTTAGACTTGACAAATATTCCAACAGGGAGAAGTTGAGCATTTTGGAGTGCATTCATTTTTTTACTGTTAAGATCTAAAAGCATCTTTCATAGTTTTCAATGTAAGCTTTAGGTGACCTAGGACTGCAGCAGGGACGAAAACAGTGAGGGAACAGGTCTGATGCAAAGACGTTACAACAATAAATGACTAGAGTGTTTAAACAGACTCTAGAAAAGGGGAATGGACCTTTCTGTATGAACTCTCTGGATTTTTTCATCTTAATAAAGAACAGGACCTATCAAAGGAAACTGAGGTTTCCTCTGACTGGAGTTTAGCACAGGTCAGTTCTGTGATCAGAAGCAGTGAAAGCAGAAAAGCAGGAAAGCAGATGTTTGAAATAAGTAGGAATTTACATGTCCCTAGTGCCCTCAAGTGTAAACATGGGGACTAAGGGGAACAAATTTTTTAAAAATGGCAAATTTATTGTCTCTTACTTTCTTGCTCCTGTAGGTTATAGGCCAGGCAGTGGTCCTCCAGCACAGCAAAGTCTCTGCACACTGAAAAAAGAGAAAGAGACTAAAATTAAAAACTGAGAAAGCCTGTACAAAAAAAGCAAAGTTCAAAATTAGCCTCAACATCTGGATGTTTTTTCAGTTCTTCAATGTCTAAACTTTGTAGCTGACACAAGTCAAAGTAGAGGCGGTTGAGATGTTAGATATGACATTCAGTGGCCAGGCAGGTGTTTAACATCAGTCTCATGCACGCGCGCGCGCGCACACACACACACACACACACACACACACACACACACACACACACACACACACACACACACACACACACACACACACACACACACACACACGCTTTGTTGGCAGCACATACATGAAGTGAAACTGTGAATAAGGAACCATTCGCACAAGATAAAAAAAAAAAAAAAAAAACATAATAAAGAAGCTTAAATAAACACTAATGTGAGAACTTCTCTTCTGAGTTTCCTTAAACATCATTTAGAGGTGAGAGGATCTTTAAGAAGTGAGAAATACCGTAGGTTTGTTACTGACGAGCTGCCAGTACTGCCTGAACTGGCTGACAAAATGTGACAAGTACATGAGTAAAACTCCCACCAACATTTTGTGTGTGCATCTGCAAGGCACAGTCAGATAAAGTAAATGTATTTACGTGTCTTTCAATCATGTGATGTTTCCTAAATGCTGAGTGCTGTGATCAAAAAATTATCCCAAACCTCTACTCTACAAAATAGGCAACAATAACACTAGGATGTGAACCAGCAGACAGCATGAGATCTGAAAAGCCTGATAATCATCTGAACATATTAATCAGTGCTTCACATTCACAGAAGCAGAGCTTGTGTGACAGATGCATAATTATTATGTGGCCTAAGCACCACCTTTGGACTAAAGCTCCACCATTACAACCAAAACCTTATAAGTCTGTGAGTTTGGATAGAAGCATCTGCCAAATGAGTAAATGTAATTGTAAATGTAGATATATAGATAACATCTAGAGAGGATGACCACAATTATTGGCCAACAATACTTTTTTTTTTTTTTTTAAATCTTAAATCTATATTTTACTACGTGTTTTCGATCTTAGACAGATATCTTCACGACAACTTTAAACCTGAGCACTTTCCATTTATGGTTTCAATATTACTGATGCCAAAATTTTGTGAACATTCATTCTGGAAACAATGTAGACTGTTGTAGGAGGGGAGTTTTCCTCATAAAAACCCAACACCATCTCCCCACATCCATCTAAAGTGGTCTGAAATGAGGCACACTGCTTCTTTCATTTTGACACTTAGAATATTTGGGATCTACCAGTCTTCAAATGCTCACAGTTTCCTGTGTACGAAACAGTCAAATGTAAGGGGACACGTCACGACCTTTCTCACAACCTCAGCTAATTATGGATGTGGAACTTATACCATAGGCTGAACAGTATTTGCTTATAGTACAGCATCTGCTTCTTCGGCTTAGTCAACGTGGATTAACTACCTCCTGTTTAGCAATAACATTCTTGAAATCCTGTAGTAAAGAAACTTTTCTTCAGCTGCAAAAACTTCCAAACATCATCATCAAATATAGAAGAATAAAATTAAGCCATGATTTCATCCTGCAAGAAGCCATGCGCCACTCTGCTGTTGGAAGTGGTTCTATTCAGGGAGGACCAAAATAAAGAAAAATTAACTTGCTTAGGTATTTGTTTTACCTCCTCTTGTTTTGCGATGAGAATTATTCATATCATGCATTATATACATTCAGTCATATTATAATATATCAAGTCTTATCGATCCATTGACACTAAACATATTAAAAGCTCTCCTCCTCCCAGCTTTCATTACAGAGCCTAGCCACACTCAATAACCTCACACTGCCAGACTCACCACCCATCATCTGCTCACAGAGATTACTTCATCCACATAAAAAATTAATAACAGGAATACACTACGACTATGTGTTGGCGTGCATCAGAGAAAGCTCTGAAAAAATGAACTACTTTCTCATAGTATTGACAACACAAACACGCCTGGGACCCAAACAAACCACCGATGAGTGGTCCAGATTGTCTGGGTGTAGTAGAGGGGGGGTGACTGGGTGAGTGGTTGGAATAAACTGATGCTGTGGAAAGAGGAGGGCAAAGGAACCCCCCCCCCCCTCCCCCCCCCCGCCCCCCAACTGCCTTAGATCACCATGGGATTAAATTAACACAGACCATTTTTCAACCATATGCTTAATCTTCTTAGCCAAGAAAGGTTTACCTCATCCAGCACTTTGCGTTAGTGTGACCATTCATTTTATAGCTTGTAAAAGGCAACACTTCTCAAAATGTAGGATTTAACTGGGCATAGTTTTTCTCAACAACACCAACCAACAAGTGACAAAAGGCTGCGAGATGTGGTTTAAATTCTCACACCAACATTCAATCATTCAGAGCTAGAATCAGAAAAAAAAGCTTAACATGACACCACAGTGCACAAAGACGATAAGAGTCGAGTCTTTGTGCTTCATGTGCAGAGGGAAATATCCAAATACAAGCTCAGTTCATCTGTGAGTAACAGTAAAAGTAAAAACTTAGACAGCTCACAATATTTACTATTTTCTTAGCACACGAGGGATGAAATTGAAACTTCTCCAGCAGCTTTCTCAGTCTTTCCCTCTGCAGACTAGCCAAGCAGTGGAAATGCACGTTGCTTCTCTCTCTGACCAGAATAACAAGCATCCTGCTGAGCAGCTGCTTCACACAAACGGCATGGGTCCTTTCCACCAGCATAGCATCCCATCCAAACTCTGTTTTGACGTAAAAGCCCCACTCTACTCCTGCTTTTACACCAGTTACAACCATAGACAAAGTTTTGGGTGTGTATAAAAGTTATATGGGATGTGGTTGGTGATGCAGTCCAGTCTTTTAGGTGTTTCAAAGCAGTTCGCAGATTTTACAGCCAAAAGCAAAGTGTAATCAGATATGTCAGATATTAAACTGAAAGACGGAGGACACTGGACACCTCCAGTTCATTGCATCACAAAAACAAAGACATCTTATCTTTAGCTCTGGCTGAACCACATACTGTACCTTACAACAGGCAAACATCTCCAATGTGATCAGTATTAAGGTCGACAAGTCACCTGACTCCTGTAACGCTGTATTTACCCACACTGGTATGGTGCCAGACTGCGTATAGCCATTAGTGTATATCACCATCTAAGCTTAGTGCAAACACTGTGTGAAACATAAAGGGAGACATATTGTGCTCTCCGTGATAAAATACTGATCCCCCTTCTGACATTGACAGTACACAGATTTTGACAGGTGTACAAAATCTTGCACGACACCTGTACCTTGGCTGAGGTGTCTAATCAGCCCTTAGGACCAACGTGACTGTGCTAGCATCTACTAGCAAGCTAACAATCATCATAACCATGGTATATGAGACCAAAAAAACAAACACCTGTGTTCACTCACTCAACATCAGGCTAACTAGATATGCTAAACAACTAGCTTGCTTCACATGTAGCTGGCAAACATATTATGGACATTACCCTCTTTCACTCCAGGTAGTTTTTTCTGGTCGATGCTAATGTTACATTCAGCCATGTTGTCACCGGTAATAAGTCAAAAAAAAACGTTGACGGTGAATTACACTTCCACGTTTCTTCCGAAGGTTAACTGCAGGCTGATTGATCGCCTTTACTCATAAACCCGATTGATGGTTCAGGTGCTGGACGGCCCTTTTGATTAGTTTCGGTTGCCACCCTCTCCCTCGATACGTCGCTGCTGTAATTGCCTGGCTGCTACTCTACTGAAGCTAACGTCAGATTTTCTACGAGCGTCCCCTCCTTCCCTTCCCCGGCCCTTCCTACAACCAGCCCGCCAACACAGACAGAATAAACGCCGTTTTCCGGCCAGAGACGTCAAAATAAAAGACTTCATATGCCATGTAGCTGAGTAACGAGGCACTACTTACTGACTCCAAAAGCTTTTCCTTACCACCAGCATGGATGGACTAGAAAACAGGTTTACTGGGCACGGGCACAGGGGCCAAAAAAGTTGTTTGAAACAACCACAAAAAGAAGCAAAACAACCTAAAAGTGGCACATAACAACCACAGTAACACGCAAAACGACCACAAAGTGATGTAAAATATGAGTAATACCATTGTATTGTCCTCAAAAAGCAAGGGGTCATCAGACATGTAGCCTACTGATTTAGCATTTTCCATGCATTTTTAAAAGATATATCTTTTAAAAATGCATGAAATGCATAAAAGATATATCTTTTAAAAATGCATGGAAAATGCTATATATAGATCCAGTAGGCTATTGATTTATGTACAATCATAATTCATAGGTCATACAATAGCTGCAATAACATTTACTACACTACCTTAAAATCCAAGGATACTCAAAACAATCAGAAACGTATACGCGGCCATATTTTCTACTTTAATTTTGAAGGCCAAATTATCACACTTCCGGTATTTTCTAGCTACATGTAATTGACTTGACTGAGCTCCCTGCGCAAGGGTCAGTGGCTGTAGACATCTGCAGCTGCAAGAAGTCTTCACCGCGAAGCGAAAGGGAACACACCTCCACAGGCCAAAATCAATGGTCCAAATGACTAATGATTATTCGGGTTGCAGTTTCAAAACAGACGACTGAGAGCACGTCTGTTTATTTGAATGAAGCGGACATCTTTCTCTCTCTCTCTCTTTTACACAAACAAATACACACGTGTCATGTGATCAGCAGCTGGTACCTGATTATGTTAATGTAACTGCTCCCTCTAGTGTCCAGCATTTCTACGTGCAGGTGTGTAGCACACCTGCGCCACACCTGTTTCAAATTCCTTTTTTTTCTTCTTTTTTTTTTTAAAGCTCAATGCGGTACATCAGTTCTAATGAAAAATTGAATGACAAATTAGTGGTCCATTTGTTTGCCTATCATTAACACCATTATTAGAAATCTGCGGACTGTGTCCATACTTCATGCTAAAAGAATTAATTTTTCAGTCATATACAGACCTATTTCATTAGTGTTGCTTAAAAAAAAGAAAATAACTTGATGAGAAAATGCAACCCAGCAGACTATGCCGTTATTTGATGCCCTTGTTCGTTATGCCTGTTTTGTCTGACTTAGTTCCAGGTACCTTGTCACAGACAAATTTTAGTTTAAGATATCCCCAGCAGACACTCTCCTGACTCTTTCAGGTTGTTTCACATTGTTACGTTTCTTCATCGAGTCCTTGAGCTGTGCTTTCAACAGTTGAATGGCTAAGATGATGGATTTGTGAAAGGTTCTTGGATGCGAGATGCCAAACGTCAACAGGCTCTTAAGTCAAGGCCTAAGGGGTTCATGACGACCAGGGGCTTTTATGAGACCAGCAGACCAGCCAAATTCAGCAGTTGCCAGCCATCTCATTTCCCTAACACTACACAAGCACAATGTCTGCTTCGCTGGCAGAGGTATGAGATGTGATTTCCTTGATGCACAAAATAGACCATGGTGACTCGGGAGGTGTTGGGTGGATGGCTTGGCCGCAGTGATTGATGTTCAGTTCAGTTCAGCTCCAAATCAGTCCTGAAGCCAAGATTGAGGAGCTCATCTCCGGCTACGATGCACTTAGGGACTGAATCAATTTACCCCTCCTTCCCCAGACAACACACTCCTGTGTACCTATTTAAAGAAGCAATTAATGTAAAAGAAAAAGACTTGCAAGTGCCAAGAACCTCTGAATCTGGTCTCTCATAACCAACAGGGTGATTGATAACTTCCTCTCTCTGTTTGATTTGCCCATGTCAGAGTGATATAGGGTTACAGGCTTCACCTACAACGTCAGATCACCGTATTTCACTCAAGCGCTCCATGAGCCCTGTGAAAAGGTGGTCTACTGACGAAACCTACAATGACTAGCTATCGATTTAGTACGCAAGTGGCTGACTGGCCCCTCCTCCCAGCCTCTGAAAGGATAAATATATTGACTGGATGGACCCAAGGCAGTGGATTGCTTGCCTTGCTTGAGGGAGAACTCATTGTGCAGCGTTTGTCTGGGGCCATACATTGAGTACCATGGACAGGGTTCCTGTTGTGAACTACTGCTTAGGACTCCTGGGTTTGTTACTACTGCAGGGAGCGCTAAATGTTGAGGGAAGGAGCATATTTAACCCTGGTGAGTATGCAAAAATGGTTTTGTTTGAGCCTAAATACAGTGAAAATGGATTTCTGAGGAGGCTGCATACAACTACTGCACCCTTTAAATTAGTGCTATTGTTGGTTTCAGTTTTGCCAAAATGCAACAAATTAAAAGACGATGCCTGGCTATGAAATGGGATGGATATGACTTAATTTTCTGTCTGTGTTGTGTGATATTTGTGGTGCTTATAAAGTTGCATTTTTATGTGCTTTGTATGTGCAGGAAACCATGTTTTTAATCCCAAAGAAGACACAGTCGCCCAGAGCAAAGTTCTAGCACTCTTACTACACAAAAGCTTAATTCCAATTGAAAAGGATGATCCTCTAGGTGAGAGATGAAGGGAAAAAATGCTTAAACTGTAAATGTAAATAACACAAACACATTCTTGCAGGATGTTAACTGTCTTTTGTATCCACAGGTCTGGAGCTGGCTAATAAATTAGCTGAATTAGAGCAGGTAAGGATATTCACAGATTCACCATGAACCAACTGTGCATTTGCCAGGAAACCTGCCATGATTCACTACAGTGTGAATATATTGTGTTTGCATATAAATGGAGTGTAGATATCTTGTTTCAATTTTTTCAACAAATAAGAATAAATTGTACATTCATTCATACGAATGAAAACCTGGATATGAATGAAAACCTGTTACACTTCTTGATTACCAAAGCCATAGATGGTTTATTGATACTGCGATGACGGCTACGTCTAAGTCTTTAATCACTGTGATCTCTGCTTGTAGCTGCGGGCGCTGAGGGAGGACCTGGAGTTGGAGAGGGAGATCACAGCCAATTTGGCAGAAAGCAAATCCATAGCTCAGAAGAGGGGGGAACGTGAGTTCAATTCAGTACTTCTGGATTTACATCATATCATAACCATTGCAGTATACATACACTGCATGTCAGATGTCATGCTACAAGTCTTCACCTCTTTTCGTCTGCAGCTTGCTTCTGGAAATACTGTGTCTGAGACAGACGCAAGAGGAGGAGGACCACTGTGAAATCTTGCTGCAAAGCCCCACATAGCCTTAAGACTCACACCAGTAATATAATCACACTTGTATTTATCTCAGCAATATAGAGTTGTATAATAGTCAATGTCATCAATAAACGTTTCATTACCACTGCACTGAGGTGCTCTCATGAGAGATCTAAGGACTGTGGTTGTAAATCTTTAATCTGTAAATAATCAGCTACTCCCTGGAAATACTTGAGGGTCAGATATGACAAAAATATACTTGTCTGCAAAGACATCATTGTCATTATTATTTTAGCAGGGATTTTGTTTGGCCACTGCTTGTGTTTATGTTGCTCTCTTGTGGCTGAATTGTGAAAAACATTTTTTGTAACTGCCAACATCTGTCCCTGCTTCATTTTACAAAACAAATAAAATCATTATGTGAATCTGTATTTTTGGAGTGATTTTGATTTTGTTTTTAAAGTATTCCTAAAAAGAAATGATTGGAAATGATTTGGTCACTGAATGGACTCTTAAAAGAGTTGAAAAAGACACTTTTTTTGCATTAATTTCCCAACAAAAGGGCCACTGAAAATATTATTGAATGACATATCAACATTCTTAACTCCCATACCTACTTTTACCCTTAATTCACTTTAGATATTAAACATTTTTAACAGTGAAAATAAGCGTCTGAGTGGAGGAATGTGGCATTTGGTGTTCATCTGCAGTGACGGGTGATTTACTGCACCATGAAGTTCACTTGATTGGATCTTTTGGAGGAGGGTGACAACGCTGAGTCACAGGCTTAGTCTAAATAATGGGAGAGCTGCTGTGTAAAGACCTGAATCATACAGAGCATGATGAACAGAGGAGGCCTCTGGGAAACCAGACTGAACATGACCTTGTGCAGCATTCACAGTCTAAAACAGCAGCATCAAAGAAGAGCGATGACCTTTGCATTGTAATAGTGAGACTTTTGCTGTTGCAGTTTCAGAGGTTATTAATGCACTTACACAACAAGATGTCCACATATGCAAAACACGCACACAAGGACATAGTATAACAGTGTGTGCAGTTTGTTTGTGTGCACATGCAATACAAAATGTGTAGTCTTTGCATACAGTATATGAAGATAAATTGAGCTGTGCAAGAGAGCAGAATATTTCCACCAGTGAGTGCTACCAGAGTAAATGTCCACATTTCCCTTTTTTGATTTCAAATACTGAAAGAAAAAAAAAGAAAAAAAAACCCAATTATATATTAAAATAAACTCTTCTGTTGTGCTTACATATATGCATACATAAATAATGCTATTATATTATTTTTTATTATTTACCATTGTGCATTTTGTATAATTCGGTCATGACGTAATTACTGTTTTAGCCCTGTATCTGCTCCTGTGTGACATATTGCAATTTATCAGCCAATAAAGTGTCACTGAAAAAAATGTTCAAAATATGAATTGGTATACCTGTCAAATTCAGCTCCTAAATTCACTTGGGTGTAATCTGACTCAAAATGCAGCATGCACGGGTAACCACTATGGTTATGATATCATGGGAGTCTATTGAAACCTGTTGATATCAGGGAGAGACTGTTGGTAAATAGTACATCGTCACTTCCTGGTACATTACTTGTCAATTCTATAAAAATCTGAAACAAAGTAATACCTTCACTAAATTTTGTTCCAACTGGATTTTATATCAATCTGCTCTGTGACATTACAGGCACCAGACAAAAACACTCAAGCTGAAATGGTGCAGAAAGTGTTATCTGCTTCAGTTCAGTCCACAAACCGGAGGACAGGGAGGGTGGGGTGACACCACCCTGTCAAGATAAGTCAAGGATGGGGGTGTTGCGTAGCTCATTGGGTTACGCAGGCGCCCCATATATAGAGGCTACAGTCCTCGCTGCAGCTGGCCCCCGGTTCAACTCTTGCATCGGACAGCCCTTTCCTGCGTGTCATTCCCCCATTTCCTGTCTCTCTACTGTCCTGTCCATTAAAGGCACAAAAAGCCCAAAAAATTCTTTAAAAAAAAAAAAAGATAAGTCCACAGGAAATGAGCAAACATCCCCTGTGTCATTCATATAATAGAGTTTTTTTTTTTTAACAATGTACAGCTAAATATAATTTACAACAGACTTTGCAGTCCCAACCCAAAATCCTCAAAAACTTTTTATAAAAGGAGAATAATGACAATACAAATAAAGGATATGTAGGAAACTGGCTATTACAAAAGTAGTAACATAGTTAAAATAAATTCAATGCAAAGAAGTTAAATAACATATGTGTCAATGAAATAAGCCTAATAAATACAGACATTTGAAAAATGTCCTAATATAAAAGTTCACGGTGCCAGGTAAATGGGACAGAGTGGAGAAGTCAAGGTCGGAGTAGCATGAAAAGTGGGAGGTGTGATGACGTTTGGATGGGCATTTTAGCTGGGGGGGGGGCTGATTTGATAGGCAGAGGGTGCCCAGCTCCTCCAGACAGCTCCAACTCCAAGAGCAACACAGAGCATCATCATCATCATAGTGTCAAACGGTCAATGATGGATTCTTCAGTCAGAGGTTGGTAGAGAAGAACATTTTAACTTATTTCTTTGATTATTACTCTCAGAGACTTAGGTCAAGTATTGAAGTCCAGATTTGCATTAAAAACTGACTTGATAAAATTTGAGTCGAAGAAAAATGTGGACATTTTGGATAAATAGCTGAAGAATACTGCTATATACTGCTATTTTGGATTACATTAATGAAACAAACTTACAATAATAATGTAATGTAAGAATATAATTCCAAATTTGATCATATGCATCTGAATGTGTCTTTATCTCGACTGCACAGGGCTCTTATGGTTCATACTCATCCTCTGTACTCTGCCGCACCTCACCTGCAACATGGTCTGCCCAAACAGCTGCCTGTGCAACTTTAATGGCGCCGTCATGTGTGTTGGCTACGCCCTCACAGATATACCAAAGCAGCTGCCTTCCCACACATACATGCTGTTCCTAAATGACACAAACATGAATGTCATAAATGAGCAGAGCCTGGCAAACCAGGACCTCCTGTTGCGCTTCAGTTTGACTCACAGCCATCTACACACCATCCATCCCCAGGCCTTCCACGTCGCTCCACAGCTCAAGTCCGTCAAGCTGTCATCCAACGATCTCTCTACACTTCCTGCTCGAGTGTTCAGTCCTCTGACCGCTCTGGAACAGCTGTATATTGATGAAAACCAGTTGGAGACCATTGCTCCAGAAATATTTGACGGACTTGTTGGGTTACAGCATCTGGACCTGAGACACAACAAACTGACTAGTCCTGCTTCAGATGTTTTTGATGGACTGACCAACCTCACCTTACTGAACCTTGGCAAGAACTCCATAAAGTACCTTCCACCTATCATCTTTCACTCCTTACCCAAACTCCGTAGCCTCTCGATCTATAAAAACGAGCTTGAGGTGCTAGAAGATGGGATATTTGATGAACTTGTCAACCTTGAGGAGCTTAAACTCCACCACAACCAGATAGCCAGCCTCCCACCTCAGGTTTTCTGGTCACTGAGGAACCTGAAGACCCTCACCTTGTCCTCCAACCGATTTCAGACTATCCCGGAAAAAAGCTTTTATAACATGCCCATGCTGAGCCATCTTACCATTTACAACAACCCGCTGCTATCTTTACCAGACGAGCTGATGGGTCACATGCCTGAGATGAAAGAATTTTATCTATATAATACTAATCTCACTACCGTTCCTGGAAACTTATTCGCTAATATGTCTGGGCTGCTGAGGCTTAATTTCCATTTAAATTACAAACTGAGGGAGTTGCCTTCAGACCTTTTTTGCTGTCTTCCTGTCCTTCAGAAACTCTCGCTGAAATCCAACAACCTCCATCATCTACATCCTCAGCTCTTCTCCAGACTAACCAAACTGGGCCTGTTGTTTCTAAATGACAATAAGATTCAGAATATACCAGAAAACATTTTTCAGGGCCTTGGAGAGCTTTTGACCATCGATTTGAAGAAGAACCACCTCAAAAATCTTCCAGGACATATTTTCTTACCAAATACAGCTTTGAGGTCTCTTACACTGAGTGACAACCCCTGGGATTGTACTTGTGGTATCCGAGGTATTGCAAGATGGATAAGACATAATCAACATGTGGTCATAGACAAAGAGGATGTGATGTGTCAAAGTCCAATGTACCAACTGCTCCGTACGATTGTCTCTCTGCGTGATGAGGACTTCAACTTCTGTGATACTACAACAGTCCCAAGTTTTCCTACACTGAACGAGTTGCATGAGCCAGCACAACCATTCCACACCATTTCAACAATTGGACAAAAAACAGCTTCAACAACCACACTACCTGGAGCAACATCAGCCACCACTGAAGGAGCTACCCAACAAGCCACCATCCCAGCAACCACCAAACCTGCAGATTCAACCACCTCAGAAGCCACAACACACTCAACATCCCTCCACACCGTAAGCACCACTCTACCTAGTGAAGAGTTTCTTCTCATTTCTGAGACTGACTCAATTTATCCTAAGTCAGCTCCTTTCTATGACATACTGGTGGTTGAACAGGGGCCAGAGTTTGTTCACCACAACTTTCACAGGGGCTGGGTGTATGTGTGGTTTCTGCCCTCAGATACAACCTTGGCTGGCTCCTACATGTTTTGTCATATCCTTCTTGTGGCTGCAGGCTTGTTCCTCATTCTTGCTGCCATGTATAGTATCTATCGCCTCGGCAAGACCATGGATAAGCTGAAGGCTCAGCGCACACATAATGAAGGGTAACAAAACATGTTATCAGGCCTGGTGCATGAGAGACCAAGATAAACTGTCCTTTTGCACAAGCTGCAGCTAATATAAGATTACTATTGTTTGTTGCTTGTATTGATGATGATTTAGATGTATCTTCAAGTGTTACTTTTGAACAGCTAGACTTGGAATAAGGAATTAAAACACACCAAAAAAAATGAAGCTGAAGGTATTTTAAGATAGCAAAATAAACATGTAAAGATTTAATATAATAGAAGACATTATATGATACAGTTTGTAAGCTTTAAAAACAGAGCTGTGCTAATGTTAATCAATTTATATATTATACAAATTATTTGTTCATACTTTTATATAATTTATGTATAAATGTAAGGATTGGTTGATTAAACAAATAGTCAACTAAAAGAAAATTAATCAGCAACTGTTTTGTTCAGCTGTACAACAGTTTATGTCACTCTTCTGGCCAAAATGCAGAACATGGCCCCAGCTTTTCAAATGTTCTGCTTTTCTCTGTTTTGTATATCAGTTAATTGCTGTACATCTCTTTGGATTTTGGACAAGTGGTTTATGACATTTTGTAAACTAAACAATGAATTTATTTATCTGGAAAATATTTGCCAGATTCATCAACAATGAAAATAAGCATTAGATTTATGCTTTAAAATAAACACATTAAATAAAACTTACTTTCTGTCATTCTTCTTTTGCTATGTCTATGCGTTCAAGAAGATTTAGACACACTATAACTAACAGTATGGGCAAATTTTCCATATTTTATTTCTGCTTTTGCCCTTTTGACAGCCAAACTTTTATAGAATGAAATGTTCAGCATCATAAACCAAGTCAATGTTTTAATCAAAGGTGAAATATTTCCCTCTAGTGGTGAAAGTTCCAAACTACATGAAAAGATTTCACAGCTTCAAAACGTTTTTTACTGCTATTTTTGAACAGTCAGTCGACTTTCTTAATAAATCTTTTTTTCTCTCTTTCTTTTTTTTCTTTCTGTTGTTTTCACTGTTGGCAGATACCTGTGGAATTTCCTGCCGCAGAGGCATGTAACAATGCAGTCATGCTATGACAGTAAGAGGTTATTCCAGTCATTCCATCAGTAATCAGTCTTTTATCTGTTTGAATTTGGCCAAGGCCACGTTACACAGTAGTGATAAGAACCAGTGTCAGTATCAATATCATAATGAAGGAAGATCAGGAAGATCTAAATCTGTTGGTCTTATTCTGTACCTGCTATTTGGTAAAGAGAGCTCAGTTGCTTGTAGAAATTCTGTCATATTTTTTGCTTCTTCTCTTGTCTGGGGTTCTTTTTTCCATAGCTTCCTTGAATGGGAAAGAGCTTTCCAAACAGAGAAAACGTGCTTTCCCTAAATGAGTCACATGGATACCGGGACGATCACACCTTCATTATCGTAACAGACATAAAACAGGAAGCTTGAATGAAGTCATCTCTTTCATTATCACATTCTACATTGTGAATAAAAATGATATATATAATATAAAAGATATAATTCCCTTTTCTGGAATGTTATCACTCATGACTTAACTTAAAACATAGCCGAGATAAAGTGTGACAAAAGATAGTTGCTCTTTAAATTTATCCTAAAGTTTTCACACAAATGTTTTTACACAAGAACTTTGGTGGACATTATCCATACAGCTCATACAACTGAAGTTACATTTGTAACAAACTGTGTTGATTATTACGCATTCGACTGATAACACCATTTAACATTGTTCTTTGGAGGCGAAACAACAGAGAATGTTCGACCGCTGGTCCAAAAAAAGCTTTTCAAAGCTTTTAAACCTTCACAAAATGACAACGGATGCCGTGAATTCCACGAGAAGTGATTGGACTTTAAAACAAACGACGAACAAAAGAGGATGAATTGGTGAACAGCAACCAAGTTCATTGCTATGACAACGGGTGATTAGTCCTTTCCAGTACGCTGAGCCCACACAACAGTGCCCCCCCCCCCCCCCAGTCATTCCATCACCACCACCGACCAACACACACCCACACACACACACACACACACACACACACACACAAACACACAAACACACAAACACACAAACACACACACACACACACACACACACACACACACAGTGAGAGAGGATGAGCATGAGAGAGAGGAAATCGCACTGCAGGGGTCAGATACAATATTCGGCCACAGTGAAAAATGTCGATTCCCAAACCCGAAATAAATTAAATGAACGTATTAAACCTGAAAATCATAGAAATTTTTCCACAGCACATTTATAGCAGACTCTTGGCTGTAGCAATAATCCTCTTAAGTCCAATAATTAACTGTTAGACAAGAAGTTTCGACATTAACAAGTCAGTTACAATAACATTAGTGTAATGTGTTTCTTTTTGGTCTCCATCTGGTTCCCATTTAAAATTGAGCTGTTTTGTCATGAATCCAAGTTCTTAGTTTAGAAAAGCGTAATTTAGCTATGTAAATATTCTCCAAATCTTTTGGAGGAAATCTACCCTTATAGCATATTATCATGTATGACCCAGGGGGATGGCTGTTACTGTAGCTCAGGCTTTTATCTATACAAGCCCGTCAGTACAGATCCATTACTGTCTTTGGGTCTGTAACCATTCACCAACTAATCTTGGCAACACTCCTGGAGCAAATTCAGTGGCAGTTTTTTTGATACTGAAAAGCTCCTCAAATGTAAAGGGATGTATACTGAAAGTGTATGGGAAGCATGGGAACTAAGATTGGAAACTGTATTTCCTAGAGGTCAGTATCAAAGGTCACATGTGCTTGGACAAAGAAGTGAAGATAGTGACTGTCATTTATTTTTTAATACTTTTATGCTTTTGTAAGGCATTGTCACCGTATGTATCTTTTCAGATCCTGTATCCTTTTAGATTATTGTTTAGATTTAGTTTTTTTAATTAATATATCTACTGTCACACATCTTATTTAATCTTATTTACACTCTTTTTATTTTATTTTCCTATCTACTATGTTAGATATAACATAACATAACATAACATAACATAACATAACATAACATAACATAACATAACATAACATAACAGTAACTCTTAACATGTCACCTGGTCTAGAAAAGTATGCCTAGATTATCATTGATGTTATGGCTCCATGTGGACACATGCCTGTGGTAATATTGGAAGTAAAGTTTGGAAACTATAATATGGAAATTATGGGATACAGATGTGAATGTTGCTATACAGTGAATTACATGTGTGCCAGCTTAATAGTAAAAGGACTTCATGAGTCAGTTGAAGAACATCCCTTGGGGCTCTAATTATAAAACACTGGTATGAACTGCTGCAGTGCAGTTATTACTTTCTCTACAATATGTATCTTGCTATAACTTTAAAGCAGAAACACTGCGGCAACTGACTTTCTATACGTTAACTCCACCCTCACTATCTGCTTTCTGTGGTAGAGAGGGAGTTTGTCGTGTTATAAAACAGATGGATTTACTCACAGAAACACAGGAATGTTAAAAGCAGCTGAACACTCCCTGCTCAACATAACATCCCACATTGTAGCACCGTGGCCAAATCACACTGAATTTTACATGAACAGGTTCAGAAAAAAAACAACTGCTTAAAAGAACATTCAGTGCTGTGTTTTCTGCCATACTGACATCACTTTAATGATTTGGGGTACAAATAAAAATCTGGATATTTATGATTCAGTGGGTGTCAGACACCAACATACTATATATACACACACAAACAGAAGCTCTCTGGAAAGCCTCATCACATAATTTCATCCAGACTTACGCAACACTGAAAGTTTTTTTTGCAACAAAAGAGAGACTGAATACAAGCATGCTGGTTGTTTGGTTTTTTTTCTTGGATCATCGTGCACCATCTGCCAAATGACAAAATTTTACAAGCAGACCAGGGATAGCATACCAAAGATATGTGCAGCTGATGCACAATAAAAAAAGAAGAAGGGACACACTGTACACACAAAACAATTTCACAACACAAACTTTAACCAAACCAAATTCTCACCCGCCTTGTTACACTAACCTCAAACACAAATATACCACCCATTCCTGGAAGAAAACACCAAAAAACATGTGGATCCCAGAAGAGGAAGTACAGATTACAAATCCTCTTACATGCATTCAAACACACATTAACACAAATCCAGTTCTAGAGGGTGGGGCTTCCCCGACCCCCCTTAAAAAAAAAAGAGAGTTTGGGTGTGATCGTGTGAGAGGGGTTGGGGGAGGGGGAGGGGGGGGGTGACCAGACGGGGAACAGTGCCACTGAAGCTTCAGAGAAAGGACCTGCAGATTTCATGAGCTCAGAGCGAAAAAAAAGAAAAAAAAGAACAAAACTGACTGATGAAGGGAATCAAGTGATGATGAAGAGCAGGAAAATGTGATGTTGTGAGAGTTCAGAGAGTGCTGGAAACTTTCATCAGAGGTTTTGTAAGGCTGAAGAGGAAGGGGGGGACGTACATAAAGGATAGCCACACCAACTCACTGTCTCTGTTCACTCATTCGTCAGCCACTACTGGAGGTAAGTTCTGTCATTCTTCCTTCTGCATGCTGTCCTGGTTAACAGATTTCAGCTAGGACATTTATCATAAAGAAGATAAGAAAGTAAGACAATGATAATGATCAGGGTGATTTTGCCAAGGATTGTGTGTAGAACAGAATACTGCCTACTGGGATTCCTAATATGAAGCGGATTAAGTGAATGAGTGAAGTCTGCTACAAAATTTGGTTTATATCTGACGGCTTGAGTCCTAACATTGTGTCAGTTAAAGTGGTAAACAAAACCCCTTTATATATAAAATGAATAAATGCTCAGTGGCATGGCAACCGAGTTTCTGCGCTCCTCTGCTGGTTCAGTGTTTTCATAACAGACAAAGTGCTGATCCTTCAGCTCCGGCATGGGAAAAAAAAAAAAAATCTAAGCAATTAATGGTGAACTGGAAATGCTTTAGCCATTACACTGTGCTGCAGACCATTCCAGATTGTTCCAGTCAAGAGCAGACAGTGGTTTTGGTTGGACTGGGACATTATAATATGTACCAGAGGGGAAACATGGTTTGGCTGTCAGGTTTCATTCAAATGGGAACATTATTAAACTCATACTCAACAGGGACACAGGCTGCACAATTCTCAGGGCTTTTGTGTCGAGGATGAGGAGGAGGAGGAGGAGGAGGTGTGATGAGACGATGTGTCATGTGTCTGAAAGCTAGTTGCTTGAATTTATTTTTAAATGTAGGAGAGTTTTCTAATGGAACATGGACAGTTGAAGGGGAACTGTGTTCAGATAGCACATTACTCAACAGATAACTGACTTGCGTTACATCCCACATACACAACCCTTGGTCTTAAATGTGAACTCTGACCTTTCACATTCTTAGCAGTTAAAGAAAAAGGGAAGTGGGAAGAGTGTTAAAACCAGTGAGTATTGCCTAACAAACCTAATATGAACAAATAAGAGGTCATAACTAATAAGTGTTATTGATATTAGTAATATAAATAAGGAGAAGATGTGTGGTTAGAAATAAATAAATAAAGCAGCACAGTAATAATGTTCTACTAATAATGAAAACAGTAATTTCCCTAGGGACCTAGCAGCTCACCACTGGACAGAAAACAGACATGAGTACATGTGTCAAAAGGAGGAAGAACTGTGATGCACCAGAATGTGTTTTATGAAGAAAGAAAGAAAGAAAGAAAGAAAGAAAGAAAGAAAGAAAGAAAGAAAGAAAGAAAGAAAGAAAGATGGGCTCATTTGAGGGACATGGTGGCCTCTTTAGAAAGTTACTTCCTCACTGAGACTCTTCCTGCAGCCTAATACACCTCAGCCACTGAGAAACGACTCACGCTTGCCAACCTGAGGCTGCTGGACTTTAAAGGGATTTGTATGGAGAAGCAGGTCATGATGCTGGCACAGCTTTATCTTTAGAGCCTCCTGTGCCATTACAAACAGTGAACACAGCCTCAGCCTCAAACATGTGCAGGCAATCCGACACATTGAGGTAAAGACATAACAAAGATAGAAATAAAACAGAAAACATTTTTGCTTTTGGTAGCAACTCAAACATCATGGCCATATTACCTGAGCATATACTCAGGTGTTATTTCTAAAAAACATTCTGCAGCAAACTTTTCAAGCTTATGTGAGCTCCAAAATTGCTGTTGAACACAAATAATGGAGAAATGGTTTTGATGCCAAAAGGTTGCTAAGCGTGGTGTTTTACCAGCCAGGTCTTCTGGCAATGCTGATGGGCAATGCTCCAACCCACAGGCAGCAAAATACAACACTGGATCAATTTATGCTAATGTCTCCTTTTTGGTTAAAACAAGAATGCTGAGGCTGCAACATGGAAGCACTGTTACTAATTAGAGTTGCCTTCAGTATAACTATCTTATTATGGTGGTGATTTAAAGTGCAGAGAATCCCTGCTGTGGCTGTGCTCTCAGTAAGAGGAGGAGAAAAAAAACAGACCACATAAACTACCAACTATTGTACATCAAATCTCAGAGAGTCATGCAGTGTAGAAACACAACAAAGACACAACAAATGCCAATATGCTCCTCATTGCCCGTAGTTCATGTTTAGGGCGGAGAAGTTCATTTTCTTTCATGAGCAAAGCCATCAGTAATTTCATACTTAAACGGGACTGCAAAGATCTATGTATGGTCAGCCAGCTTTTAGACAAAGGTATCAAAGCTTATTGCTGACTTTGAAGGAGTAATACAGTGATTTTGTATTGCAGTTCCTTAAAGTTGGCAGACTTGCAAAAGACAGATTTAAATATAATGGACACAATTAAAGCAGCAGAGGCTGCAAAGACACACAACTTTCAAACACCTAACCACTATTTGTCACACTGGCTTTCTTTTAAAAAGGTGTAGTCTCCAAGACCAAAAGGTGCTCAAGTAATGTCACTTCAGTATCCATATTAGATTTGACGAAGACTATGACATTAAAAAACAGGCCGAGTGACAGTACTCCCAGTGACAAGTGAATTGACTCCGACATGTAAAATTGGTGGAGGACAAAGAATTAAGGGTATTTATGACATAATGACCATGAAGCCCTTTGGCATGTAAATCTGATCTAAGACTCATAACCACCCTTGAGTGCAACATATCTGTTTTTTTTTTTTCTTTTTAGGGAAAAAATGGACCTGCCACTGACCCTTCCTGTGGTCCTACTTCTCTGCGCCCTTAATGCTGTTGTTTGGGCATGTCCGGATCAGTGCAAATGTCAAGGAACCAAGATCCTCTGCAGTGGCCTCTCTGACTTCCCCACAGCTGTTCCCTCATCTACCACTGCCCTCTACTTCTCCAACTGCAGTATCTACTCTCTGAAGCCAGAAGACCTGACTGATTTCTCTAATGCCCTTGGCATCTTTGTGATTAAAGACACTGTTCTGAGAGAAGTGCGCCCTGGCACACTCGATTCCACCCTGAATATGGGTGCTCTAGGGTTTAGTGGCACTGAACTGCAAGATCTTCCTGAGGCTTTGTTTCAAAATCTTCAGAAGCTTGAGTCTCTGAATCTGAAGAGCAACAGACTTCTGGTACTACGCCCTAAGTGGTTTTCCACACTGACATATCTGAAAGCTCTTGACCTTAGTAAGAACCTTTTCACCTCTGTACCTGTGGAAACCTTTCACCCTCTTACCGAGTTAAATTACCTTTTTCTTTCCGGAAACAACATCAGTCAACTGTCTAGAGAGACATTCAAGGGTCTTTCTAACCTTAAAACCTTGCGACTTAGTAAAAATTCGCTGCGGGAACTTCCTATGGGCAGTCTGGATGACCTTGGAAACCTGGAGGAACTATCTCTAAATGACAATCTAATCACTCAGCTCCACCATGACCTGTTCTCTAAGACTCCAAAGCTTGAGAAGCTGTTCCTCTCTCATAACAGGCTTACATCTCTTACACAAGGGATCTTCTTAAACCTGCCACTCCTTTCCCAAATCTCACTGTATGAAAACCAGCTGGAGAGTCTGGGTCCAGGGGTGTTTGGGCCCATGGCCGTGCAGGAGTTGTGGCTGTATGACAACAAGCTGAGCCGTGTGGAGGATGACACATTCAAAAATCTAACTCAGTTGCATCTCCTGGTGCTCAGTCGCAACCAGATCAGCTATGTTTCTGCTGGGGCCTTTAGAGGGTTGGAGCAGCTGGGAGAGGTATCACTTCACACCAATCAGCTCACAACCCTGCAAGCTGGGACTTTCCAAGGTCTGCCCAGTCTGGTCAACATTTCCTTGGAGCACAACTTCATCAGCTCCCTTCCTCTGGGTTTTCTGCAGGGTCTGAACCACCTAGGACAGATAGACTTGAGAAACAATTCCCTTCCCAACCTGCCACAGGAAATTCTAGATGCGCTCACCGTGGCAGACGAAGTACTCCTGCAGCAGAACCCCTGGAGGTGTGACAAGGACATTGTGCCCCTTAGGGATTGGCTGATACGGCATCCATCCAAGGCCAACCAAACCCTTGTGGTGTGTGAAGTACCTTTCAGTATGAATGGTGAGATGATTGCAGTGATGACAAATGAGAACCTGATGCCTCTCAGCTCTACCAAAGAGCCTGTGTTGACCTCAACGGAGAAGAGGAGGAAACCCAATACCCCTCCAACCAGACGAAGCACTTCCTCACCTGCTGTCAAGGCCACACCCACCGCAGAGCATGAAGAGGTCACCAGCAGCGGACAAGGGGAAAAGGGAACGGTTTCTAATGATACTTTGATCATCCTCATCATCATCGCAGTGGTGTCCACTGTCATCATCAGCACTGTCATCATCAGCTGTGTGTGCTGGAGGAGGAACAAGAGGGGCCGGGGAAATATAGGCCGCAGAAATAAGAACTCTGTGCTGTAGACTAAAACACCCAACATCAGTAACCCAAGAACTTTTAAAGCCAAGGGAAACTGCTCGCTGATTAGTGTGGTTTACTTGGAAAAACTGGAGCATAGAGTTGATTTTAGAGTCTCAACGGCATAGAAAGAACCTCTTCAACTCCTTCTTCTTCAGCTAGAACAAATAAGTAAACAGATTTTCTTTTGAATTCATTAGCATTCAGTTTTTACTTATCAAATTTACCAACCAGGAATGTGTGCTGTAAAAAGAGACACTCTTACACACTAACTGTAAAAACACCCACCTTGCAATTATGTGGGACACTGGGACATTTTGATGAATGTAAACCCAAATGCACTGAAACAGTGTACTTCTTTCAGTGAAATTTAGACTGCACCCAGTATTCTGTTCGATGGTTTCTCATTTTTCAGGATTAATTGTTGCAGTTTGACAATGATTTTTTGTGCTAACAACAACACATTTAGAACAGTTTTACTTTTTCTGCAAAAGGACTATCCATACAAAATCAAAGACATAATTCTTACTCCACTGTAACACAATTCAATGCAAAATGTTTCTCTACATTGAATAAATGCACTGCTTTTAGTGGGAGCAATCTTTGTGGTAATCATTTACTGAACAAAGCCATTCATGGTATAACATGCAAACAGTGCTTTTATTTATTTAAAGTTATACTTTATTTACACATTATTTAGGGATGTGGTGGAGGATAAAACTCCCACAAACGAAAGGTTAAGTTATAAAAGCAAGCAGCATTATACCAACATACTGTATCATATATTAGATGAACGAAAGGAAAGAAAAATACATACATTAACACACCTACAAGTGAGATTTAGTTATACATACAACATGTTATGACCTACTTTTTGTAGGATTCTGATCCTGTTGAAATCACTTAGACTTCACAGGATTTTTTTTTAATATCACCAGTCCAGACTGAGTGGATTTAAAAGTGGTCATGGTGAAGGGATCACAGTGATGGTGTACATTCAGCACTGGTAATAATTTCAGCCACTCGTTTAACTTATATCCATTTTCCTTTGATGAAATTAATTTTATGTGAAAGACTGCCATCTATTGCAAGGACATCCAAATAATGTTTGAAAACATTTTGGCTTCAGTCCAAAGATTATACTGTTTCCTCTTCCTGCAATTACAGCGACCAGACAAAATAAATGAATCACAAATGTTGTAACATATGTTTCGTTTCATTGTGAACTGACAATAACAATGTTCTGGGAAGGAAGTTAAAACAAAACATAATCAAAAAACTGGAGATAAATAAACTAAATAAACTACAGGAACATTATGGTTTTACTTTGTTATTCCAATGTCGGAACAGACACATCGAACTGTTTAAATACCACAGAGTGTGTAAGCATTTAAAGTGTGTGATGAATATTCAAGCTTTGAAAAAAAGATCTATTGTTTATGCAACTGTTCTGGGTTAATAATCTAACATACCTAACACATGAGGTTGTAGGTACTCAGTAGTCAGTGGTGAAAGTTTAATCATCCATCAAATTTAAAATCAACATTCAAATCAATGGCAAAACTTTGAAAACTACTTTAATTTGATCATTCAAAATCAAGAGTTTGTAGTTGCTGAATGTCAGTGACTATATAAAAAAAAAAAATATCAGTTTTGTAATCTTGGAGCCATGCTGTAGAGCAGTGTGGTTATAGGCTGAAAACATTCCATCCCTGCTTTTATCTCAAGCTGCAGAAGTGTGTTAAACCACGCCTCATGTGGAGTGAAGTGCTCCGCACTCGAGACCTGAGGCCCAAGATCAGTACAGAAGGTAACTAATGAGACTGCGTTTGTTTACGTCTCGTCACTGATGCAACAACATTCTACTTCATCCTGGGGCAGGAAATAATCAGGTAGGTTAATGTTTATTTTGAATTTGACTGTAACAGAACATAGATTTCACTTGTTATAATGCTACTGATAAGTTATCACAAAAGACAGGGCACAAGGTCAAAATTGAACTACTCAATTTGTTTTTCTTTTCATAGTGACTAGGCATGTCAAGAGGAGAAATCATCATTCTTTTTCTGTCTTTACTGTTTGAGTCTTCACTGACTCAAGACAAAAAATGCAACACGGAGCTAGACTGCCCCAAAGAGAACCAGATGATCTTTGGTCCATCTACAACAAACATTCCTCCGTTGCTGAAATCAGTTGTGACAGAGGTTTTCTTTGTGGGTAGCCATTTTCAAACAATCCCCACAGCAGCATTTGCTAGAAACACCCTGCTTGAAAAGGTGGAGTTCATGAACACTCACACGTCATCTATTGAGCAGGGAGCTTTTGAAGGTTTGGTGTCCCTGAAGTATGTTGAGATCTCAAACACTGAATTAGTGTCACTCCCAGTGGGACTCTTTAAAGACCCCAGCAACCTGGAGTCGATTATAATAAAGTTTAACAAGCTACGTAGTCTAGAGAGAGGCTTGTTTGACGGCCTTAAAAAAGTAAAAGAGGTCCAGTTACAAGGGAACAAGATCGAATTGATTGAAGATGGGACATTTGATGGTCTTGAGGGCCTTTTGTCACTCCACTTAGCTAAAAACAATCTCTCTGCTGTATCTGCCGACTGGTTCTCAAACCTAAACAAACTGCAAATACTACGGCTTTATGAGAATCAACTGACCAACGTTCCTGAGGAGATTTTTCAGAATTTACCAAACTTGAAGGAAATTGCCTTGCACGGCAACAAAATAGCAGAACTATCACCAAATCTGTTTCCACATAAAGACAAACTAATGAAGATCACTTTAGATAGTAACCTTCTCACTAGTTTACCTCGAGATTTTTTCGTTGGCTTCCCTCTGCTTAATACTCTGACCCTTAAGAAGAATAAACTGACAAGTCTACCACCAGTGCTTTTTGGAAAAATGCCCAAACTGACTGTTTTAAGCCTCAGTCACAACCATCTGAGCACTCTCCCTGAAGGAATATTCACCGCCTTGAAAGAAGTCAAGAAGCTAGATCTGTCTAATAATGAGTTTGTCACTTTGTCAGCTGAATACTTTAAAGGCCCAGAGAATCTGATAGAGCTGAATCTACTGAACAACAAGATAAAGTTGCTGGATGCAAACGTGTTCGACGAGCTACAGTCACTGACCACACTAAAGCTATCTCACAACGACCTTCAGATGCTTCCTGGGGAGATTTTTGAGCGTTTACCAAAACTCCGAAACCTTTATCTCAGTGATAATCCCTGGCTCTGTGACTGTTATCTGATTTCTTTTCACCTCTGGATAAAAGCAAACTCTGAAAAGATCAAGTTCCCTGTGGTCTGTGAGTACCCAGAAAATCTGAAAGGGCAGGAAATCAAATCCTTAACAGAGGATCAATTTATTTGCCCCACCCTTCCCCCCACAACTACTCCCTTAACCACAACCCTCCCAACCACAACACTACCAACTACACAACCAACAACCACCATACTTACTACCACAACACCTCTTCCTACAACACCAACCACCACTTTGCCAACCACCACTATAACTCCCACAACCACCATACCCACCACTACACTCCCAACCACTACCATCCTTACTACCACAACACCAACAACCACTCCGACTACTACAACTATACCAACCACAACTGTCTCCACCACACCACTAGCCACAACTACGACAACAGTACCAACAACTGCACCCACCACCACTATAATAACAACTGCACCCACCACTACTATGACAACAACTGCCCCCACCACTACTATGGCAACAACTGCACCCACCACCACTATAATAACAACTGCCCCCACCACTACTATGGCAACAACTGCACCCACCACCACTATAATAACAACTGCCCCCACCACTACTATGGCAACAACTGCACCCACCACCACTATAATAACAACTGCCCCCACCACTACTATACCAACAACTGCACCCACCACCCCTATAATAACAACTGCACCCACCACTACTATAACAACTACTGCACCCACCACCACAACCACAACTACTACCACAACCGCTATGACCACAACTACACCAACAACAGCTATGCACACAACCACCACCATCCGGACTACCCAACCAACCACCACCAGAACAACAACGCCACCTCCACCAACCACTCCAGTGATCTTCACCTATCCAGTCGAACCAGTCTCTCACAACCAATCATCTTCCTTCACGTATCAGCACAGAAACAAAGTTCAGCAGTGCAAGTCTCAGATGATGATGTACACCGCACTGCTGGTGGTGGAGATCACCTGCACACTGGTGCTGGCTAAGTTCACCCTGGCTCTTTACCGCCTGCTGCAGCGCAGAGAGAAGATGTACCCCAGGGTCAAACTCACCCGCTTCTCCTACAGGAGAGAGGTCATCCTGAGGCCTCTATTAGAGGCAGAGACTCGAGGACTTTAAACATCAGCATTTAAGAGAAAGTTCACAGGTTTGATCACCGTGATGGTAAATGAGCCAGTAGCTGTCATAACACCTGCTTAAGCACCTTTACACCTGCAAAAACTTTGTTTGTTTGTTTGTTTTGGGGTTTTTTTGTTTTTTTTAGGCCACTTGGGGCCAGTGGAAATAAGATGTGAACACAACATTGACATATTATCACCTTCTGGAGTTTAAATATTTGACCATTTAGCAGCTAAATGCTCCACTATATTCATCAGCTAGTCAGGTTGCTGTACATAGTCATGTTGCTGATCACATGTATCAGATTGTATTTACCCTGTGGAAATGTCCCACCTGTAACTTTTACTCTTTTGCTGTAAAAGATTTTTACAAATACATGTATATATTTTAAATTATCTATACTCTAAATTTACATTATATTTTTAAGCATAATTGTGTGTTTTTTTTTACATAATGCATTTGCCTACAATCAATAAAACATGCAATAATGAATACACTTCTTGCTGGAAATCTGGGAGTTGAGTGAAATTCAGTTACACACACCACTACAGCAGGGGGAGCCAGAGATCTACAAGATGTCCTCCCCTGTCTCGGTCAAAGTTAAGGCAGCTTTATCTATAACACAAACTGGAATTGGCAAAAATGTCTGCTAAGTAGATGATGTTTTAGAAGTCTAAATAAAATGTAATGGCTAGTTTCATTTGCACAAGTCAAATACTACTACTACATTATTTTTCTTTATTTATCAGTGGTTTCCTATAATGTTTCTATGAAAAACAAATGAATCCCACAAGTCATAAATTGACGAAGTGGCAAAGTGGAAAACACTGAGCAGGAGTCTGGGACTGGGATTTGTGCTTGGTAGGTTTGCCTGCCTGATAGCTAAAGGTTAAATACCTTAATTAAGACCTTTATTAGACAGTAGCACAGGAACAGAGCAGGCAGCCAGATTCATTAACCCAGCCGAACGTGTGTGAATTTGTACATGTGTGTGTGTGTGTGTGTGTGTGTAATAATGAATTAAAAACTAGCCTTATTGTATCTTTGTAGAAACTGCTTACCTGCTGCCTGTCTGAATAGTTTTGTGTTGTTTTTCTGATGGTATAGCAGAACGATGACTATGACATAGAACTATGAGTAATTATGAGGTTAAGTACCAACTTTAATCTGAGGGTGCTTTCATGTACAACCAATAAACCATGAAAACAAGTTGTCGTTTTTATATAAACCACTAAAGGTAAAAGGGGCTACACTGTCCAAAATCCAGAACGGCAAAAAGTTCAACTTTAACCTCAGAGTTGCAGAATAGCCCCAAAATGATGAAAAACATATAACTATCCTACCACTTATGGACTGCACTGTATAAAATAAGCTAGAATAAAATCACTCATCATCCATCACTGTCAAATATAAATCTAAGCAGGATGTATACTGTATTACATTATTAATTCAGTACATTCAGTGCATTCTTAGCACTAACTATTTTCATATCACCTGCTTTGTTTCAGGTGAAGTGATATTTTTGTGTTTTTACTCATACTACTGGCTTTATTATTTAGCTATTGCACAACAGAAATTATAGTCAGAAACATAATTACTAAACGCTACAATTTTTCATCATGCCTGGGACCATGGGTTTGACTGAATTTTCAAAATTTATAGTATTACTGAGCCAAACTCATTTTTGTTTACTCCTTTGTCACGAAGAGACTTTATTGTCTCTTGCTGTGCAAAGACGTAGAGATATGAATCTCTTCCACAAGAGGGCACTTCTGTATCAGATGTAACAGCACCTTACAAATACAAAGACTAGAGAAAAAGATTTATTTAACCATTTCACCTCTTAAAATGTTCCCAGCGGTGCCTCTCCACTCAGTCAAACTGTTGTATTGAATTAGAGAGTAGGTTCCCCACTAAAACCAAGTGACGTTGACAAAAAAATCTTGTTTCAAATAAGATAAAATCTGTGTTCATATTTAATCAGATGGGATCCAGACTGAGACTACTCCAGACACGGCAACTTACATAAATCCCTGTGGAAGAGCCTTCTGTAAAGGAAAAGAAAATGTTATGAAGTTGTGCCAGACAGCAAGAATAGTGAATGAAGATGCTGGATGAGGGTAACATAACTTTGCTTTATCTGATTTAACCCAGGGGCTATATGGAGAAACACACATACACACAGTGACAGAGAGAGAGCTGACTTGATTACATCAGAAATGGGCGTTTTGATGCGGTAAGAGGGAAATGATAAATAAGGGGGTATATCAGAATGGACAGAATGTGAACCAAAAGTAAATGCACTTGTTAATGTCAAGTCTTCGGTACAAAATCAGTACAAAATCAATCCTGCCCTAAACCAACAGCCAAACAGATGTCTGTTGCTGAAGAAGACCAACATACAAAACTTGACTGCAAGACGATGAGAAACCCTAAGAGTTGCATCGCTAAATATTTAATCCCACTGTGAATTGCAGCTAAGTGTATTGCACGGTTAGTTTTTGTTAAGTCCTGTGATGTTGCATCACAGAGCTATTCTCGTCTCCACATGAGGTAAATAGACTGATGTCTTTATTATTTATCCACATTTGAGTGACTGGTGTATTTTAGTCCACACTATCTTCCTTGTGTTGCTGCGATTACAGTTAAAGCAGTTGCAGCTTTTAGGACTTTCTGATTCTGATTTTTCTGAAAGAGACAAGAAATCACCATCACCACTGCTAGGGTTGTATAGTATTTGTCACCCTAAAAGTAGTCAGATTTAAACCAGTGGAGTATAAAAATAATAAAATAAATCCACATACCATATCAATCATACATGTGTTTTTAATTGTAAACTCCTGCAGGTTGCTAGAACTCCAAAATTCACAATAAAAAAAATAAAATACAGCAGCCATGACCTCAGTTTTTTCAGCCGAAGCTTGTCCTATATCGCACTGTGATTTGGAGAACTGTATTACAAACCTAAAATTTATGCAGAGACAGAGGCAGACAGGTCATCTGTTACATTGGTTCAGCTGCAGAATGGACGTTTCTATGATTTACCTAACCTGAAACATAACTTTCAATGCAATTTTGCATCAGATACTGAGGAGAAACACTTATTAGTTAATCTCCATTTGTCAGCTCTGGATGTCCTGAAACTGGTTTCTCATCTTTAATATCTCTGGCTCAGAAAATGTTTCGTCATGATGTGAGCTCCCTTGAGGATCAGTTCTCAGCACAATCCTCTTCATTTTCTATTTGGCCATGTTATTAAGAAGAATGAGATATAATCTTATTATACTATCATGACCAGACTCAGCTGTACATAATGATGTTGCCTTGTTACATCTTAATGTGTGCCACCTTGAAAGTAGAGTTACACAGCTTCCTCCTGCTAAGAAGAAACAATGCCAAATGGACTGCAAAGCAATAATTTCCAAACTACTGTAGGAGTCAGCACTCCCCAAGGGTTCCCACGATATACTGTATACAAGAATTTGCAAGATGATTAAGGCGGTAAATAAAAAAAAAGCATATATAGACAACATTATGTTTTTCTTTAATGACTTTTGAAATATTTTATACCTTCACCTCTTTGGGTCCTCAAATTAAACAGTCTAAACTAACTCTTTAGTTGAACTACTCACTCATGTCCACACTAAGGCAGAACCTGTGATGAGGGTACATAAGTAGACATTGCCTCATTTTACAAGGTCACCATCCAAAAAGTCTGGGAACGACTCGGGTAAAGCTTCATTACTTGGCATAAGTCTTCAGAGGTTCCAATATATGCTGAACAGCACTGGTGATTAAGACAAATATCTTTTCTCTCATGTATCTATATTCCTTGACAAGTGAATTGCTATTTCCTCCTGTTCTGATCCGCTTTCCCACATTACAAATTCCCTGTAGTACATTAGCAATTCTGATGTCACCATATCTGACCAATGATCCATCTGCCTGCGATTCTTGAGCCAATGGGTCCTTAAATGTTGGTCTTTACATATATTTTCAACTCTGTCCTTCTGTCTTTCCAACCTACTTTTGCATAATCTAACACTTCAGTCTTCCTCTATGGCAAACTTCAGTAAATATTGTTATACACTTAGAATTAATCTCTCTTTATTCAGCTGGCTTTAGTGTCCTGGCAGCTCAAGTTGTGCATTCAAAACTATCTCTCTGAATTTCCAGGTGCATCCATAGAAATGTGCAATTTTTCTTCCAGGAACTTCATATCCTGAGGTCAAGCAACATCCTGGTGCAAGCTTTAAGTGAGAACTGCCAAACCACCTAGAAACTTTCTGCACTTTGAAAACATTAGGCAATGTTGTGTTTGATGTTTAATGTACTGTTTCATCCACTTTAAATTTTAAAAATGGTACTATTCTTATTATCTCTTTTTTTCGCACCACATTGTGCAGATGTCAAAGTGCACCTGAGACTTAGAGTCCAAAACAATACAAATTTACTTGTAAATGGGCCAACAAGTACTGACATCAAAAGGCTAGTTACATCTAACAAGGTAGCAGGGGACCTTGCCATGAGGCAATGTGAATGTAATGACTAGCTGGAGCTGTTTGCTGACTGCAGGGTTTTAAGCGCTGCTCTGAAGGTTATCTGAGTTTTAAATGTGTCCAAAGCCATGCAATTGAAACTCTGCTACACAGGCTTACATTTGACAATAAATTGCTGACCCTCTTTTATCCACAGAAACATTCAATGTGGCGGAGGGCCGCATATCAGATTATTGCTTGTAAACACCTTGAATGGTTACATGTTTGACATCAAACCTCTTTGGGTTTAATGTCACCTATTCCAGGTGATTTAAAATAAATGTGCAAGAATCTAAAACAGAAAACCAAATAGATGACATTACAGAGTAAGTTGACAAAATAATAAAAATAAAATGAAAATAACTTCAAGCATTTATCTTCCCTCTGCGATCCTTTCCATTACCGCACAGGTCTAACATGAGAAAACCATCATTTTAACTTCTTGTTTTTTTCCTTGAAGTC